GACCGACGCCACCAATGCCAACCTCAACAATCCTCCTCCAACCCCTCCATCACGCTGCCACTGACAGGCCAACATCGTCGTCATCACCATCACCACCAGCGCCACCAGTGCCAGCGCGCAGCTTCCCCCTCTTGGCCCGGAAACCAAACCACAAGAACAACAACAACCAGCCACCCGCGCAACCTGCGCCTATAGCTACAACAACAACAACTACTACTACTACTACTACTATCGCCAACGGCAATAACACCATGAAGAAGGCCAAGATCTTTGGTGGGAGCGCACCAGCCTCACCGACGACGACTTCGGCGCTGCCTCGACCCAAAAGCGGCTACCAGTCCGTCAGAGGCCGCATCTCAGGCCCTATTCCCATACCAAATCCTGCCGTCGATGACGACGAGTTCCCCATGAGGAGACCAGGGACTGGCATCGCGAGCTCGACGCCCATTACAGAACCTGTTATGCCTCCAACGGCACCATCCGACCCGTCCTCTGCTGGCCCCGTGATGGCATCCTCCTATGTCGTCCCCCCACAACCGCCGCCGCCGCCGCCGCCACAACCACCATTACCACTACCACAACCATCACAAGCACCGCCCCAGCCGACAGTCGCACAGACATTCCCAACAGTGGGCATGGTGCGACCAGACATCATCGACGTTCCACAGACCGTACCAGAACACCCCGCAACACCCACGAACAACACCATCCACCCCTCCTCTACTGGTGTCGTTAGCGCCGCACAAATGCCACCATCTGGTCCGAGCCCCGACGGCGGTGTCTCCAGCAGTACTACCACCACATCGGGTGCCGCCCGCAGCTCAGCTAAGCCTGCTGGCCCTCCGGCCAGCAGCAGCAGCGCCGCGGCACGGTACTCGACCTTGAGCGCTGGGTCGGCCAGGACGGGTGGGTCGATAGGCGGCGGAGATGCTGGTGGTGTTGGGCGCCACAGTCCTCCGCAGCGCAAGAAGTCGACGCTTCGTTCCGCGATCGGGAAGTTGCTGCGGCGCAGGAAGAAGGAGGGTGGGAGCCTTAGTTCTGTGAGCGAGTCGGAGAGACAGGTTGCTGTTGCTGGGCACGATTTGATAAAACAAGGAGGAAGACAATACCAACAACAACAGTTGGGACAGCAGCAGCCACAACATCGAAGTGTAAGTCTGGCGTTTTTTCTTCTTCTCCTTTCTGGCTGAGACATGTGCAGTGGCTGACAAGTATCCTCGGTGAAACCCAAAAATCAACAGGTCCCACCAGCCATAAGAACCGCCGGCCTACCAGGCTCAGACATTCAACAACAAAAGCGCGTCACCTCGCTTCCCGTCAGCGAGTTCGACCGTGCCTTGCGATCCCACTCCATTGGGCCCAACGACATTACAGCCATCGAGAGTGCGCGCAACTCAGTTGATGCGCTCGGCTCATCGTCGCCGCTCTTCAGCAGGCAGAGGGTGGCTGCGGCTGCCCTGCTGCAGCAGGGGGGCGGGAGATCATTCTCCGGGGTCATGATACCACGCAGTAGGGGAGAAGAGTGGGCTGGTCTCTCGCCTCGGCCTGCGAGCACGCATGGACGGGCTGCGAGCAGGCTGGAAGAGGAGGAGAATGACAACCCGGATGCGATCGGGAGGGCTATTACCAGCGACAGTAATGGGGGTGATATGGGGCACAAGAGGAGATCGCGTTCCCTGTCGCAGCTGAACGAGGTGGCGCTCGAGCAGGGCGGTGGGAGGAGAAGGAGTGATGAGATCCGATACTGGAGGCAGAGTTATGATGTCCCGCAGGGGCCGACATCACCGCTGTCCTCTGGCCCGGATGATGATGGAATGTTGGAGAACAACCCAGATACAGCCGGTCGTCCATCTATCACCGCTGTGGACGCATCTGCTGCTGCTGCTGCTGCTGCTGCTGCTACTGCTCATGGTGCTCATGCTCATAATGAGAGGATCCCCAACACGCCGCCACAGCCCTTCAACTTTGGCACGGTGGCCTCGATGAGCGAGCTGGCCGGCATGAAGATTACACAGGCCGTCACCCTCGAGGAGAGGTTTAATTTCCTCGAGGTCCGGATGAACAAGCTGGAGCGCGTGGTCAACCAGCTGTGCCACTCTGTTCCCGGCTTCAAGGGCCCATTCATGGAGGTGCAGACCACGCCGGGTCCAGGTCCAGCGCCGGCAACACCAGGCTCAGTGCCGGTCTCAGCCGTCCGACGAGGGCGCCATGGATCAGCAGGCACGGGGGCTGGGACTACGAGATCTTCTGGGTTTTCTACCCAGCATGTCCAGGTCAACCACCCAACATACGCCTACAGCAACGCCATGTCCCCCATGATTCCCTCCATCTACCAGAGCGAACCAGACGACCTTGGCCTGCCGCCGGTAGGAACTGCAATATCCTCTTCCCACTACGAAGAACCCCGCCGATCCGAAGAGGACGACAACACAACAACGGCTTCCTCCCACGAATCCTTTGTTGGCGGCGACCCGAACAATGCCTACATGGACTCCCTCCACCCACCGTCCTCCTCCGCCACACAGGCGGCCTCCACAGCAGCAACCTCTGTACCCCCCGTGCCAGGCCTGCTCCGTCCGACCTCCGAGTCCACGGTGCGGCCCGCGACCAGCATGCCCTCGCTCGGAGGGTCGCAGGGCGGTGGTAGCAGCAACGGAGGGGAGGACCGCTCCTCCAACACGGCCATCCTCATCACGCAGCTAGATGCAGAGCGTGCGGCGAGGCAGCTCCTCGAAGATCAGGTGCGCAAGTTGTCGGAGCGCATGAATAACTTGTCTACGACCATGTTTGCCATGGTGCGCGACCCGGCCAAGTCCAAGTCCTCGGAGAGACTGCGCCCACAGACCTCGGGCTCGATGACGCCCAGCAGCGGCACTCACAACACCAGCGCCCACCTCACCCCCATCTCCGTCAACACCAGCCAGGGCAGGACACCCCCTGTCCCCGCCACAGCCACAACCACCAACGCCCTCGCCCCCTCCAGCAAGGCCCAGAGTATCTTCGGCAAGGACAGCGCGGGGCTCGGCATCGGAAGCAGCATCGCCAGCTCGCCCTCGAGGGAGGTCGGCGAGGACGATTTCTCCGAGGCGTTTCAGACACCGCGTGAGCTGCCTACGCCCGGGGTGGGAGGTCACCAGTATTCCGCCTTTGGGGATGAGTTCGGGGCTGCTGCTGGCTACCATGACGAGGAGGACGGTGCGGATAGCAGAATGGAGGAGGAGAGGAAAAAGGCGGCGCGGGTTTTGAGTTTGAGCCAGCTGACGATGGGAACGGGATTGCCGACGAGGATATGATCAGCTCTCTCTAACTTTCGCATATGGACTACACCACCTCCTTTCCCCTCGATGCTACTCTACGCCCACCATCACCAGCTTCGAGGGTACAGTACACGAAAGACAGAAAACGAAGAGCGCTGAGAGCGCGCCGTGGGTCTGCTTCGAAAATCTCCTTTACATGGTCTCCGTCCAGCATTGATTTCTCAAAGTTTGAAAGGCAACGACGATACCCCCAGATTATCCCTACCGTTCGTGCATCGATGTTTTATTCCTTTCTTCGAAAGATTATACACATCCACCACCATCATGATCGTCTTATATGCTATGATCATTATTCAGCGACTTCATTAGCGTTCGTGTTCGCTTTTCTTGGCCTAGGAATGTGGTGTTTTTCTTCCTCTTGTTTCTTTTTGTCCTATTTACTTTGTGTGTGGAAAACGAAGGAGAGAAGGGGATGATTTTGGGCGGTTGGTTGGTATTATCTTTTTCTTTGTTCAAGACAGGATAGGGGAGGCAAAGAAAGCATTTGTTTGAATGAACTTTGAGCGCGGCGGATGGGTTGGCTATCTGATATTCCTTTGGGCAGCCTCGGGCTGAGCCTTGCACTTGTACTTTCCAGGCTTTCTGCACATAGTGTATTACTTACTATTTGATGGGTGTGAATTTATCCACACCTCTCTACGCTTCTCTCTGTCGGCTGCACGGCTGGTCGCCGTTTACACTCTTGGAAATATACATTCCTTTTTCTTGGCTCCATTCATCACTTTCATGTGTTTTGAGGATGTTTGAGCATTGGAGAGAGCGTGTTGCTGATGGGACAGAGTGGACTCACTGCTTACTTCTTTGCGGGATCTTAACGTGCCATACGCCGTCGCAAAGGGGGACAGGTCGGATAATCCACGGTATAGCATGTCAAATCTCAAGCTCTAGAAGTGCTGGAAGACACATGATCAAGGTAGAGTGTCGGTGACACTTGTCTAAGGGATACGATCACTGTCTTCCGAGGAATAAAGGAGAAGAGAATGAGAACCATAAAGCGATCGTGGTCCGACTGGACTCGGTTCTCTTTACTTCTCGCCAGCTTCACCGCGCATTATTTGGGCAATGAAAGGGGCAGGCCAATAGAAGGTGGAGAGAGTCAGGACTTCTGTTCTATGCATAAAAAGCGGGTTCGTTGAGAATTGGTGTAAGACAATTGGTCGGATATGCAGGGTTAATTCTTTATTAGTTGGGGATCGGAAGGGGGAGGGGGCAGCCATGAAGCTCGTGATAATTTTATTCTGCTTACCTAATCAAATAAATCGTAATAAAAGGCGTCAGAATGGAGCAATACATAACCAAAGACTATAATATGTACTATAAATTTCTATCCTGATGTACAGAGAATATACTTAAGCTTAACGAAAAAAGACCTGCATCGTGGCTTAGCTCTATATGAACACGGAGATTGCTCCCCCCCCAAAAGATCTTATTCTTAGCCAAGGAAAGAAAAGAAGAAAAAAAAGCAAACTCAAGGACAAGACTTGCTCAAAGGATATCTCATAACCAAAAAGGATGAAGAAGAAAGAAAGCAAGAAAAAAAAAAAGGAAAAAACCAAAAAACCTCTAAGTCCAAACCTCGAAATCAATCCCTCACCGTCCTCCTAGCTTCGGGTTCTTGGCTATGGTACTCGGACTCCCAACAATATCAGACGACGACATGAGCTCATAAGCTCGACCGAAGCAGGCGTTGTACTTCTTGAAGGCCACCTCGACCAGGACGCCGACCTCCTTCCTATCTCTCCCAATAATCCCGACAGACACCAGCGACTCCGTCTCCTCGATCCAGTCCTGCAGCTTCTTGAACTCGACCTCGTCCTTGGCCAGGCGCTCGATGGCGCCCGACCCCTTCAGCACAGCCAAGACGCCGGCCGTGACGGTGTTGGTGGCGCCCAGGATGGTGATGGCGATCTCGTGCTCCTTGGCGTTGGGCCCCATGGCGGTGAGGATGGCGGCGAGGATGATCTGCAGGAAATGGCAGGCGTACAGCATGACGCCGAAGACGTGGTGCGCGAACCGCCGGCGGCGCTGGTTGCGGATGATGGAGCGGTAGATGCCCACGGCGCGCAGCCGGCCGCTCTCCAGGTTGTCGGTGCTCTCGCAGGCCAGGCCGCGGTCGCTGTTGATGCCGACCGCGCGCCGGAAGATGAGCAGGTACTCGTGGTCGACGTTGCGCATCGGCAGGCCTGCGGGCGGCGTCCACGAGTAGTCTGTCGTGACCGGGCCGAGCGGGTGTGTCAAGGGGGTTGCGATTTGTCGGTCGCCGGACCTGTATTCCGTATTGTAGTCTGCGGAGCGTCCTCCTCCGGCTTCTGGGGGCGACATGATGACGGACCCTGTAGCAGCTCTTCGGGCCAGTGGTGGGCGTCTCAGTAGACGGGTCCCTTCGTTGATGGGTGTACAAGGCTGCGAGCTTGTTACAAGCGGTTGCATATCCTGTATTCAACTAAGATTTGTTTTCTTGTGTCGTTTGTCTCAGATTCATGGACTTGGGGAGGGATTGATAGGAAAGAAAGAGTCCAAATGATAGAACAGCTTTATGCAGCGCTTATCAGCCAGCACAACAATAAACCAGACGACATGATTGAACCACGGTGAACATCTGTTTTATATCCCAGAGGTCGACGAAGCCTCACGGCGCCTCACTTCCGGCAGGCACACATACATGACATCAGAGGGAGACACAATAATCAATTTTTCCTTTTTCTTTGCCTCTTCCTTTTTCTTCTTCCACCCCATCAGAAACAACGCGAGAGGCAAGTGTGTCATGTGAAGGGTCCATCATGACGGATCCGCTCAGCCATGTGCCGGCACCACCGCAAGCTGATCCTTCGGACATTTCCTCCAGCCATGCGTAGGCTGAGACAGCTCTTTTTATTTTTTTATTTATTTTTTGTGGCAAGCCATTTGGCTGCCTAAAAGAAAATGACTAAATATGTATGTACATTGTATCCCACCAAAGAAGGCGCAGGAAGAAGAAGAAGACAAGAAGAATATTCCACCTCGGTGACCCAGAGTTACACTATCTTGGAGGCGCAGAGCTGCAGAGGACTGCCTTGTAGACAACGAGGCTCCTCCCTTCTGCGCCGGCTTCTGCGCCTCCAAGAACAATAAAAGGAAAAAGAAAAGCCGCCCCCGCGGTATTACATTGGCCAGGGCACTCATTGCTGGCATGACTGCCGGTGTGGCAATCCCATAGCCGCTTCTGCCGAGGCTTGTACAAGCTGATACATACTTCTCGAAGAACACCCCTTTTCCGACGTGAATGAGTAGGTTTAATTGCGACTAGGCAGTGTGATTGATGTCGGAACTTGCCATCGCGTTTTTCTTCCTCTGTTTGACTCATTCCCGAGCTCAGAGCATGTCATGGTATTTGATTTTTTTTCTTCTTCCCTTTCTTTCGGGCTAACGGTTTGTTGAGACCTGGTGATGGGAGGCCCTGCTTTTTCTTACCTCGGACGCTTTGTAAATAATTAAAAGCTTGTTGCAATGGTTACGCGTGTCCTCATTATGTCGGTCGACTCTATGACTGCTGTGAAAATTGGCGATGATTAAAGTGATCATGTTCGGCTCATCCATTGATTATATCTTGCGATGAAACGTGACAAGTTCCTACCGAGTAGTAGTTGTGCCGAGTGTTTGTGCCTCTTTGTACATGTGTTGCTGGGCTATAGACGCCGTGGCTATTCAACTAAGCATGCAGGCTCGTCATGATGAGCAGGAAATCATTTGCTACTTTATCTACTGCCTTTTGCTGTTTTCACATAATCTCGTCGAGCAACGCGATTGTGACGGCAGCAGTAAGCTCAACAGTGATTGCAACCTCGTCCCTTGTTTATCATTATAATGACTCGGCGAGGAGACAGCGTAGTCTTCTTCTATTGATGGAAATGGGACAATAGTAGTTTGTCCGATATGCAGTCATTTGGAGAACTTGTACCCGAACCTGCAGCAAAGAACACATCAAGGTCATTTGGAGGCCAACGGGAGGGCCCGTACCACTTATTCGACGCTTGGGACATCCATCGGCATGTCTTGATCTCCAACAGATGCATAATCGACTAACCTGTGATGTCGGATCTGCACTTTGCTCCACCTTATATAGATCAGCAATTCGCCTCTTGCTCTAGGATCTACTGTCTCTCTGCTGGTTCCGTTGCGGCCCTCTCAGTGAATCCTGTCTTTTGTTCCACGTCGCAATCACCATTCAACATGAGACATCTCACCAACATTCTGACTTTGGGGTTTGGTGTTGTGACTGCTACAGTTGAGGGAACGAGGCTATATCGCCGGGATGCCAATTCAACATCCACTTCATACCTTGCCTGGATGGCGGACTCTCAGATCAAACATGGCGTGTCCAAAGGCTTCAACTACGGAACTGCCGTCGTTTACAAAGGTCTGGAGAGGGCTATTTCACTCACCAAGAATCAGACGCTTGTGGACTTCTACGAAGGTCAGATGTCTATTGTTCAGGACAACGGCACTATTACAGGATACAACTATAGTTGCAAGTAGCCCTTTTCCCCCACTTTCTTCTTCTTCGTTCTCTTCTCTTTATTCCTCTCCTTCGTCTTTAATCAAAACTTACTCCTACGGATTGAATGTAACTTCATAGAGCGACTTGGCGGTTTCTGATACATCATTGATCATCACCAGACTATTCACTGGACCAATACCGTTTCGGCATGAACCTTCTCTACTGGTACGAAAGGACAGGCGAGGAAAAATACAAACTCGCAGCTGATGGCATCCGAGCCATGCTCCACACGCACCCGCGCAACCTGGAAGGAGGGTTCTGGCACCGCAGCCCGACCTATCCAGACCAGATGTGGGGCGACGGCATCTTTATGGGGGACTCGTTCTACGCGAGACACACCTCCCTCTTCCAAAGGGACAACACGTCAGCCTGGGATGACATCACACTCCAGTACGACCTGTACCAGAGACACTGCGGCCGCAACGCCACCTCGAGGCTGCTCAAGCACGGCTATGACGAGAGCAAGGTAGCCGTGTGGGCAGACCCGGTCACGGGGGCCTCGCCGCTGGTCTGGGCCCGCGCGGACGGGTGGTTCCTGACCTCTCTGGTCGAGACCCTCGAGGTGATGCCGCGGGCCCACCCTGGCTTCGCAAGGCTGGCTGGCCATGTCCAGAGTCTCGCGGAGGGGCTCCGGCGGGCACAGGATCCCTCGACTCGAGGCTGGTGGCTGGTCATGGACGAGGAGTACGTCGGCGCGGCGGGTAACTACATCGAGTCCAGCGCCACCGCCATGTTTGCCAGCGGGCTCTTGCAGGGCGTCAGGCTTGGGTTTCTGGACGCAGACGTCTACCTTGGCGCCGCAGAGAAAGCGTACGAGATGATGGTGGCGAAATGGGTTGTGGAGGACGCGGACGATGGCACGCTGAACTGGGAAGACACTGTCGAGGTTGGGAGCCTGGGCAGCAACGCTAGTTTTCAGGTAAGCCCGTGGGACATTCTTCTCATACATGTCTCCCTTTTTTGCTGTTTCTTCTTCTTTGGTGGTTTCAGTTCTAATAAGCAATGATACTAGTACTACACTTCGGAACCAACAGATGAGAATGATTACAAGGGGATTGGTCCGTTCATGTGGGCGAGCTATGAATATGAACTCTTGTAGATGATGGAGTGGGGAAGAGATATGAATTTGACACAAGCCTCTTCCTATACAGACACCATTTCTCTGTGTGAATAAAATTGCGCCATAGCTTTCTTCGATGTATTGAATGATCCGGAATTCAGCTCTTACATCTGTGAGCAGGGAGGTCCCCATAAATGGCATCAGCCTCGTTGCGGCCCCGCATCCCTTCAACATAGACACAGCGACAATACAACAAGGCAAAGAGGAAGAGCCCTCGTCTCGACGTGCGATGTCCATCAAGCCATGGTATTCCAATTCCCCCGTCTTTCTTTCATCTGCGACGTTTTCGTGGCGAGGATCCCTCCCAGCACGGCTGTCTCTGGATCTTTCTCTCCACGTTGTCTTGGCCACCTTGTCATCAACCAAACAAACACTCCGGCTTATGGCGGGGAGCGCGTTTCTGCACTTTGGTTCTTGTTTCTTTTTTGTCATTCCAGATGACTGCCGACCCTGGCCTTTCCTTGTGATGCGCCTCTGGCTTCTGCCACGTGGCTGCACTAGTGAGTGCCCGGTGATCCCTGGTTGGGCGAGGCGTACAATCTGGCCTCGCAGTGTCCTGTCCATGCGCCCCGCTGGTCAATCAAGGCAACGAATGCGAAGGCTTGGTTCTAGACTGCGTCATGACCAAAGGGGGATGGTTGCGTGTATCTGAAGATCTTAAGGGAGATCTTTATTGGTCGGCTGGCTCTTGTGATCCTGGAATGAGCACTGAAGTAAACGCCCCTCGCCTCTCACTCAGACTTGCTTGAACGGTCTCCCCGCGAGGCTGTAGCCGACCGACCCCTGTGTCCCCAACGGAAGAAGATTTATCATATTCTTCTGGGCCTGACTCAGATGAGCTTGTGAGCTTGTGTGTTTTACTCGTGGTGCGCAGAGAAAAAAGGAAATTGATTCTGGGGTCTGCCTCGGGATTGTGTTTTTTTTGTAATAAAAAAAAAAAAAAGGGCTTGAGGGGATGAAACTGCGGCTTCGTATTCAATATAAGCCACACTTTTTTCAGCCGGGCCAGAGTTTGAGTCTCGGATGTACCATGGGAGAGGTCAGATATCAAAAGTCTGACAATGTGAAAATTTGTTAGAGGGAAAGGAAAGAAAAGAGAAAAAATATCATGCTCTCATTTTCCGTAGATGGAGTTTGCCATAATGGATGGGAAATCTGTGCATGTTTGGCAGAATGTGCTCCTCGGAGTCGATATGATATGAGCAAGGCGTGCCCGTGACTGATGAAAAGTCAGCCTTACGACGTAATATACATGACAAGCTTTTGCCAAGCCTACTGAAGTACTTATGCAAGACGCGCGTAAAAGGGAGATCGACAAACCTAAGGTCTGAACTAGTCACTAGTGAAGAGCCTTGTTCTCTATACTTTGTAGCACTCAAAACGTCGTCTTGATTGTATCAGAGCATGTGGACGTCGTCATGTTGGTGACACCGATTTCATAGCAACAGGACGATAGTACTCATGTACTCAATCATTCATTATTCAAATGATATACACCCCTTCTCGCTGCACTGAGAACACGATAAAAATAACAATAAAACTCCAAATACCTTCAAGCCTTCTCTAGACATGGTCGAGCCATTTGCCCCCAAAGCTTCCAGGAGAGATACCGCCCGTCTTCGCTCATCTTATCCCTTCTCTGGCCCAAGTGGAGAGAGCAAGAGAGCCTCATCCCAATAGATTAACAGCAGCCACAGCCCTCAGTGATTCCGCAGCAGTCGATAGACTCGCCGCATCCACCTCGCATGCTCACTTCCGAGTCCATTGGGGGCTCAGCACCAGCCGACTGCAGACCTCGTCAGATAAGCAAATCATAAAGAACGCACACACGCAAAGTCTATTTGTTGTGACGAAGTGAAGAGAGAGAGAGAGAGAGAGAGGGAGAGAGGAAGAAACAGGAAATGTAGGGGAAAAAAGGGAGAGAGGAGACTATAGCTGTTTAACGTACGGGCTGCTGCGTGACGACGCCAGACTCCATGGGGATCTCCATGGGCTGCTGCTGCTGGACGGCGCTGACCTCGGGCATTTTGAAATGTGTGATGGTGGTGGTGGTGCAAAAGACCGTTGGCTTGGAGGTGCGATTGAAATAAAAAAGAAGTTGTCACGTTCGATATTGAAGAGTGGGAAGATGCTGAACGATGAGAGAACAAAAAGCAAAAGAAAAGACAAACCAACATAGGGAACCAGCCCGAGAAGCGAACCTCGTTCTTTTATATATGAAAGCAAACAAGCGGTATTGGGAGCCCTACTACTTTACCTACTGCAATATGACGTCGCGCTGCTGGTGTTGTCCATTTCCAAGTTTCCCAACCAACCCCAGCGGGAATTGCCCTTTGTCTTTTTTTTTTTTGGGGACCTATACCCTCCCTCCAGCAGGGTCTGGTAAGTTAAGCGAAGACATCCCTGGCGCAACCCAATGAAGCTTGACCCCGTGGTCGGGCTGGGGAGGGGGGAAGCGCGTTGCTGTTCTGTCGCATCATCTTACAGGCTCATCAGGGCGTGGACATGAAACCTTGGTCGACCGATTCCCAGAACCTGGTATTAACCAATTGAGTAGTAATCCCTCTCAGACCGGGTGGGGGGGGGGGGGGGGCGCGCTCTGGCCTTCTTCTTGTGTTCTTCCGGTTCTGTTAGAGTTGCTATTGATCCAGGCTTTCGTAATTATATGCTATAATTAATGAGTCTTCGGCATACTAAACTGTTTAACCGCCGGCTTTTTGTTCCTGGATGGATGGTTGGTTCTCTGCGTGCCAGGCTCGGTTGGGATGTGACCTTGCTCCTATGACGAAGGGGACTTTTGTTCTTACATCATGTCTGCAAAACACAGGGGCTTATTGACCAGCATCGAAAAAGACAATTTACTCAACAATCTCATATCTCAAAATCCTACAATTGCTGAGTTTGGATATCTAGGTAGAACAACAACAACAACAACAACAACAACAACCATAACCACACCTCCACCAACCTAACAATCAAGGAGCCCACCCCGCCAAACTCTCAACATGCTCCCTCCAAACCTCCACGGGATCTACCCCTTGCCCTTGCTCCTCACCTGCCACAGCAACGCTGCTGCTGCTGCTAGTAGAATTACTCCCAGGCGCCGGAAGATACGGCTTTCGATCCGCAAAACAAGCCGTCTCCCGCTCGGTCGGCACCGTCCCATTGAGGATATACGCCCTCGCCAGCGAATCCGTACAAGTAGACAAGTCCCTCGTCGAGTGCCCATAGCCATGATGAACAATCAGCCGCGCATTCTCGCCCATCTCATGCAGCAGCCTCCGCCCGTTGCGCAGCGGCGTCGCTGGGTCATAGACCTCGGCGATGAGCAGGACCGGGTGGGCGAGGGTGTGATTCAGATCGCCGCGGTAGACCTCGGCCACATCGGGCCAGTAGGTGGTGAAATGGCGGCAAGGTAGGACGGCGTAGAAGCGGTCATTGCCCGAGATCCAGGACTTGGTCGTCATGTTGGCCCAGAGGGAGGACCACCAGGCGAGGCCCTCGGGCGGCAGGGGGGCGTCGTAGCTGTCTGCGCAGATGACCATGAGCGAGAGCTCATCGCTTGACGGCCGCGGGGAGGGCGGCTGGAAGCGCGTCGGGTCGTATTCCCAGTCGTTCTTCTCGATGAGGCTCGTAGCGAGGGTGGAGTTCCCCTGCTCGAGCTCGTAGAGCGTCTGGGCCAGCGTGGGCCAGGTGACGGGGTTGTAGAGAGCCGCGTAGATGGTGTGCACCAGGCCACGGTATGTGACCAGAGAGGGGCCGCTCTCCTCATGGTATCCAGGCACGGGCTGGGTGATGAGCGAGTCTATCAGCGTCCGCATGCGGAGGTCGAGGCTCTCGAGAGTGACTGGCTCGCCACCATGTGGCTTTGCTAGCCAGCAGTGCTCTGGCCCGGCATGGACGCACTCCCCAAGGAAGCCATCGTGCCAGGCGTTCGTCACGTTGTCAAGAGCTGTCCAGCCAAAACCGCCCAACAGGCGGTGATCACGGACATACTCGGTACCGTCGAGGATGAGCCGACCAACACGGTCAGGGAACATATTCGCATATGTCTGCCCGATCCCTGTACCGTAGCTGACAAAGTACCCGTCCAGCTGCTCCTCGCCCAGGGCCTTCCTGATCTCGTCGAGATCTCTTGCCACGAGCGCCGTCGTCATGAAGCGGCCGAGGTCTCCAAACTTCTTCCAACAGGCATGAAAAGTTGCATTGTTCATCGTGTCAGCCCACCGCAGTAATGTGTCTGGATCCGCCGACTCCTCTCGGTACAGGTCGGTGAGCATGTGCCAACGGTCTCTGTCGGCGTCGTATGGGTAGCAGGAGATGGCAGGCTGCGACGTGTTCACCCCGCGGGGATCCCAGCCCAGCACGTCAAAGGTGCCATTGGTGTATTTGAGCGTCCTGTCCTGGGCTGTCCTCCAGGTGTATTCCGTGCCACTGCCACCAGGGCCACCAGGCTCAATCAACAGCGTCCTCTTGCTCTTGACGCCAGAGCCTGGCGGTGAAGATCTGTCGAGGCGGGATAGCCCTGAGACCTGCAGCTTTGTGACTGCAATCCTGACGGTGCGAGTTTCTGTGGCGTTGAGGTAATCCAGCGGCACGTCGAGATACCCACAGAGGAAGATGCCACGGCCAGCGTAGGGATCCTTAGGCCTTATACTACTGCTATCTCCCATAGACGCCGGGTTTTTCTCAGCCCAGCTCCAGTGGTCAGGCTCGGGATCAAACAGCCCCGCCCAGGATGCCTCGTGATCCTTGTCCTCCAGGGCAGGAGGCAAGGTCTTGTTGGTACAGGGCAAAAATCTGAATGGATCGTCTGGCTGAGGAAATGTCCCATAAGGGGATCCTGGTCCAGGGTGATGGTGGTGGTGGTGGTGGTGATGGTGACCATGATGCGGATGGTGATGGCCACCGTGCTGGCCTTGCAGACTCAGGTTACTGATCAAATGGTACAGACTTGCCAAGCCTGCAATGCCCAGCATGATGACCAGCGGCGACGGTGGTCTTCTCGGCCGTGACGTGGGATGCAACACACGAGGCGTCGCTGTTGTGAGGGGCGTCTTCTCGTCCATAGCAACAAGTGAATTTTTTCAAGCCCACAAGAGTAGATAAGTGGAGGGTGCTGATTGTGGGTTGAGTATAGGTGCAGGACGACATCAATATGAGGAATGTAGAAGTCAATAAATATATGGTAATAGAAGAATAGAAGTCATATTGGAGGAGAATAAGCCCTTGCTCGTTCAGGGTACTTGTTAAGGTGTGCTGTGTAAGACGGCTGAAATGATGGGCCTGTTCTACTAACAATTTGCTGGGGTAGGCAACCCCGCTTGGAGTATGAGCAAGGAGTGGGCTTGCGCGGCGTCGTCAGTTGTGTGGTTGATTGTTGGTTGAAGTGGCTGCGCAGTACGACCTTGAGACTCCATGTTGTACAATGTAGAGTCAGTACCGGCCTCTGAGAAATCGACAATTACTTGAGATGGACTTGTATTGGACTATCACATGCAGCAGGCCTTGTTCTGGCCGCGTCATCTGCATGGGCTCGCGGCTTCCAGTGTCGTGGGCGCTGCTTGTCTTTTCTGTTGACCTGTGGCAACCTAAATTCAGTTACGCAATGATTTCCACAACTCAGGTCTAGGGTAAGTAACAACTCACCACTCGCCATCTAACACCCAAGACAGACCCCTCCTCCAGCCACCAGCGAGAACAACAGGAGACAACAAGTACACAGCCGCACCACTCAGCTCGCCTCCTTTAATTCGACACAACGAGGGTTGTGAGATAATTCCAATCGTCCTGCGCTACCTTGAGCCACACTGCTCTCTCTTCCATGAGCTTGCGCTGGTGCTCAAGCGCCTCCTCTGGGCTCATCATGTCCAGTTCAAAGTCCTGGCGCACCAGGTCCAGTATCTCCAGCGGCAGTTTGGGCGCCATGTAGCTGCCGCTAAAGTCCAGCTCGACGCCATTCTCGTAGAGAAGTTGCAGCAGCTCAAAGGGGATTTTTCTTGTCGCTTCCCTCTGCGCCTGCGAAGACTCGCCAAATGCAGACTCGACCCACCAGTCTCTCTGCTGGGGCGGCACGTTCGCCGTCGAGATGATGCGCTCGTGCGGGTCTACGAGCCAGAGAGCAATGAAGCGTCGGTGGCCGGGTTTGGTCGGGTCAACGAGCTTGAAAGGGGAGACGCGGTGTTGGCTGGAAGAAAATTGAGATGAGGTCAGCGGGAGTTGTCTGGGTGACAGTACATTCGGGAGACCTCGGTTGTGGGAATACTCACAAGACGCCTGGAAAGGCAAGCAGGCGTCCCTCGCGGATCTCGACGTGGCCGTAATTTTGAATGCAGATGCTCTCTTCGTCCGCGGAATTGAATCCGTATACACACTCCAACCAATGTCGAACGCCCTCGTAGATATAGTCCCCTTCGATATATGTCTCAAGAACATCCTGTTGGTCGCACATCTGCATGCGGAAGTTAAGACTGCATTCGGTGATGTTCTCGCTGTCCAGACAAAACAGAGCGGTGGCGCAGATTTTCTCGTTCATCAAGCCCTCGACCTAGAAGTCCAACATCCTTGATTAACACCATGGTCCAGGCCACACAACGCGAGACATCCTCGTCTTGACTCACATGCCAGTCTTCCAGCGGAGACTCAGGCTTGTCGGGTGTAAGCTCGATCGAGGTCATTTTAACGATAATCTGCAGGCCCGAGGCCTTGAACTTCCTGAACAAGCGACCCTCAGTCTTTTCCACACCTGCTCTTGTGATGTATGAGTCGTAATGAGCATCACAGCCCCAACACGGCCCATAAAGTACCGGCTTCCGCAGAATCATCCATTTGCGCTCAGCCTCGTCCTTGACCCAGCCGTACAAGTCACCTACCGTACTGAGATCAAGTTCTGCATCGGCTACCTTGGCCGGGTGAGACGGAGACCAGAGCGATCTCCTTTCACGGCTGAAGAGGTCACGCAGGGGCGTGAAGCGTGATTTTCTGAGCCCGGGACCCTGAAGTGTGTTGTCTTGATATGTCAGCAGACACTGATCCCACGCAGGAATCGCTGTATTGATCATCTGCTCAATCGCGACGTAAATCTCTGGATACTTCGTCGGGTGCAGATTGTTGATGTAGCTCGTCAACTTAACGCTGCCGTCATCCTGGAAGATGACATTGGACGGGAGCCATTGATATGTCGCAGACCAGTATCTGTTGGGTCCAAAATTGGGAAACGGTTCTCTGTCTGGCTGCGGCTGCTCCTCGTCGAGGACGTTGCCTTTCCCAGCCCATTTGTCGATCGCGTCAAAGACACCGACAACTTCATCTTCGAACACCTTGGTCTGACCATAAACGAGTGGGTGCATGGATGGGTGAACGAGGTCTTGGACCATATGTCCCAAATTGGGATGCCGCGCTGGGCTGTCTGCCTGATCACGTTTGAGCTTCTCGAAGGCCTTCCTGAGGGCATCACGGAGGTTCTCTGTGATGGCAACGTCCGACTTGACAACCGCAGCAGAGGCATCCAGAGTCGGGATCAAGCCCGTCTTCTCATAGTAAAGCGCCTTGGTTTGCAGCTCCTCTATGCACTGCGCACAGGTCGGTTAGCAGCTGCTCATGTTCAAGTAACCCTTTATCAGGGAGGAAGGGGCGGGCCTCACCAAATCGAAAGTCTTGGCGTCAACAATCTCCCACCCATTAACACCACCTGGGCCATCCTCGCGCCGCTCCTCCGAGGCCTCGCTCACCCCGATTATGGGAGGACCCCATTTGCTCCCTGGCACAGCGGCAATCTTCATCCACTCGCTGTCCGGGACGGCCAGCGCCTCCTCCCGCCACTTGTCCACGATGGACCTGTCAAAGACTTCATGGTGCCACTCGGGCTTGTCCGTCAGTTGGTCCATGATCGCCATCATGGCCACCTCGCGCACGGGGAGCACCTTCGAAAACGATGGAGGTGAGCTGATGTCCATAGTGATCGGGTGTGACGGGGGTGCGCAAGGCCATTGCCCGTATGAGGCCCTGTGTCGGATGGGCAGGCCCATGCCTGCGTATTTGGGAGATTCGTTCAACATTTTCTTAAGAGGATAGGTTACAAGGAAAGAAGAAAAGGGTTGAGTCGTTTACTAGACGTCTGGCTGAGAGGAGTGCAGATGAGGGAGTTACGTAGGTTGCTTGAGATTTGGTTGACGCAGGCGTGTTGGGACAAAACGCGAAGGGGGAACAGTGAGAGGTGAGAGACGGACGGGCCTACTTCCTGTAGACGCGTGCGAGCGGCGCAATTTTTTTTCTCTTCTTTTCCTTCCTCTTTTTTCGTCTGATTTTTTATGTACTGTATTGTACTGTACTGTTGTCGAAGGAGCTAGGCAGCGCCTCGTGATGCCTCCTGCACGGAGATGACCTCCCGCTACCACCTGGCATCTGTTTCTCTTTCTTTTGTGATTAATAAGCTGAAAGTTGTTGAAGGTTAGGCACTGGACTCCCTGGCTGAGGACAGAGGCAGCAGCAGCTTCCAATGACCATAAAAGCAGCCTATGTCTGGTTTGGTTGTGGAAGAAAAGAGGCACCGAGTGTGAATCACGCTGGAAAAGAAACACAAATAGGGAAGAACAACAGTGAGCTGGTGTCATACAGAACATCTTGATCTATTTAGATTCATTCGTCACTGGGTCTGGCTGATGTGCTACTGGCCTTCTGTTCAGTGTCCTGGTTTCGTTTCCGACGTATGTGTAGTCCGAGATGGTTCGTCGAAGCGGGCACCGCTTCGCTTCATGTCTTCATGTATGAACAGGTAGTTAGCCCACTAAGATGTTTCACTACGCACGTAGGGCACGAGGAAGTCACAGGGAGTTGGAGCCGAAATATGGCTCATGAAGGATCGAGAGCCCAGACAAGGTCAGCGCTTTTTCTATTGCGGCTACTATGACCAGGTCAAGATTGACGACCACTGGATCATCTTTCAGATATATCGCTCTCGCCGCCACTCTAGCCCTTGGCAGCACCAGCTTTGATAAGCAAGCTATAGCACAATCGTCAGCAATCACTCTTTTGGAAGACCGCCAGGTCTTGGGGACATCTCATCACTCACATATCCCCGTCTTGTACGACGTAGTCCTTGCCCTTGGTCATCATCTTACCCTTCGCCTTCACCTCTGCCTCGTCACCAACCTCCTTCAGGGTCGTGAAATTGTAAACGATGGCCTGGATGAAGGTCTTCTCAAAGTCACCGTGGATGACACCAGCTGCTTGAGGGGCTTTTGTGCCGTTGCGGATGGTCCATTGCCGCACCTCATCAGGGCCGACTGTGAAGAAGCTGCCCAGGTTGAGAACCTTTCGCATCTGGACGATAACCTTTGGTAGTGCCGAGTCGGCGCCAATGTTCTTGCACTCCTCCTTCACCTGGTCATCATTCTCAAATTGAGACAAGCGCTCCTCGAGACACACTGAGATGGGGATGATCGGGTCGCCAGGTGCGTGCTCCTTGCACCACTCGGCGATCTTGGGCAGGTGCTTATTCTTCTTTCGGATGTAGTCCTTCTCCGACAGGTTGACGAGGAAGACGACGGGCTTGGCAGTAAGCAGGAAAAGGGGGTTGATGACCTCGACCTGATGAGAATGTTAGCAAACCTTGCCCAAGAGCAGTGAGGCCGAAAATATAACAAGAAATTGTTTGTTGGAAGTTCAGACGAAGTTTTATCTCAGTATGCACTCTGCGTTGTTTGGTGAGGCATTCGACGAGCTGGGATTAGATCAGGCACTATGGCCTTTTGTCATCATGAAGATTGATTGTGTTCGGGATCACCGATTACACATGAGAAGCGATTGCAGGAAAAGATTGAGGATGGAAACACGAAAGGTCGGCTTACCTCCTTGGGGCTCCAGTTGCCGTGCCTGACGTCCTTGCCGTCCTTGAGCCACTGGAGAATTCGTTCTATCGTCGCCTCCTCCTCTCTTGCCTTCTTCTGCTCCAGACTCTGGCCACCCTGTCGGGTCTTCTTCTTCTGGTTCTCAAGGGCCTTCTCCACGAACTCAATATCCTTGAGCCTCAACTCCTCGGCGATGATATCCAAGTCACGAGTGGGGTTCACATCACCCTCGACGTGGATGATCTCGGCATCGTCGAAGCAGCGCACGACCTGGAAGACGGCATCGACAGCACGAATGTGGGACAAGAAGGCGTTGCCCAGACCGGCACCAGTAGAGGCACCGCGGGTCAGACCTGCAATATCGTAGACGGTCAAGTTGGCGGGAACTCGAGACTTGGGCTTGAACTTGTCACACAACCAGTCATACCGCTCGTCGGGAACGATAACGCGGGCCTCTTCGGGGTCAATTGTGGCGTAGGGGAAGTTGGCCGGGTTGCCCAAGTGGCACTTGGTAATCGCCTGGAAGAGGGTGGATTTTCCGACGTTTGCAAGGCCGACCTGAAAGAGAGAGTCAGAGGGCGGCCTGTACATGCGTGTGGTCGGGTGTTTGGGGCCGACAAGGGTTTCGAGAAGCTTACGATTCCACTCTTCAGACTGTTGCCGGGACGGCCCAGGAGAATCTTCTCCTGCTCTACCTGCTTCTTGGGAGGCATTTTCTTCTTCTTGGAATAGGGACGAGTGGAGAGGCAGAGAAACGTGCAGCTAAGCACGCGATGTGATTGAAATGCAGAGCTAGCTGCAGGTGAAGAAAAGGCGCGAGAGACAGAAGAAGAGAAGTAGAGCGGGGGATGCAGAAGCGAGGACGTGGTCGCGACCTTTTGAAGGGCTGTTTCCAGCCCAACGTCAGCTTTGTTTCGACTGCGAAATTGTAGCTGACGAGAAACTCCGCGATTGGTCGTCGAGAGTGTCGCTGGAATATGTGTTTGATTCCTTACGAAAATGCCCTCGTCTCGCGTGGGAAAGAGGAAAATGTGAAAATGGGATGGCGGGGTTGCGTTAGGTTTTGGGTTGGATTGGGGAGAGAAGGTGTGAAAAGCCTCCTCCCACCAAGCTCTAAAATTTTGCAGCTTGCTTCCAAGGTGGTAGCGTGGGGCAGACCAGCAACTGGAATGACGGAGCCGCAGCTCTACCAAGCGAGGAGGCACGGGCCAGGACGCACCCACGCAACCACACCACGGTACAGCATATTACCAACTAGTACTACAGCGCACCATCATGCTGTAGTGCCATAGTGACAGTCTAACGGGAACAGGATAAACTAAGCCTCCGGTGTACCAGAGTGCCTTCCCCGCATGAAACAAGTGGGGGATAGACCCAAGGAGATTCCAGGGGTCCTTGTCCGACTCCCCCAAAGGCAGTCAGCCTTAGGAGCCAAAAGCCCTGGATGACGCCCCGTGGTGACGCCTTGGGTCAACGCCTCATTTGGGGATGCACTGGATGTCAGCAAGCAGGGGTCATCTCTGTGAGCATGGCTGATAAGCTCGGCCAAGTCACCCACGGCCAACGCTCGCTCGCTCGCTCGCTCGCTCAAGCAAAAGGACCCAACCCAGCATGCTAGGAGCACCGGAATGGGAAGTGCCAACGTCGAGGTTGAGTCCAATCCACAATCCGTTTTCCCCCTCTCGCTTCCCTTCCCTTAGAGGCTTGCAAGTTGGCCGCCATCTCGACCAACCCACCACACCTCACTGACGACCACGCCTGGCTTGCGTATGTGGTCGCAAGTTTCGAGTGAGGGGCTTTGTTTCAGTCTCATAGAAACCTCTCAATTGTTTCAGCTACCTCTTCCCAAGACCTCCTTTCCTTCCATTCTCGCTGTCCTAGCGCGTGCGACTTTGCACGGCCAAGTGACAAGCTGAGGCTGGTGACGGAAATCGATATCACCCACACATGCGCCTTTGGACCTGAACTTCCGACCCTCCTCCGTCCTCTTGGGACCTCCTTCCCAACTTCCACAAACCACATCGCCCTGACGAGACAGTTGTTCTCCACAGAGCACCGACCATGGCACCAAAGAAGGCATCGTCGAAGTCGGCCAGGTCCCACAGGTCGACCATGTCTCTACAAAAGACCGAGATCATCATCAATGTATATGATCTCATGCCAGTATGCAGTCTGAACTCCCATCATCAGCACACGCTTCCTAACTCTAGCTAACGCCTTATAGCCCGGCAGATTCGCTTCGCTACTATGGACCGTAGGATCGTCCCTCCTCCACTCCGGTGTCGTCATCAACGGCAGAGAATACGCATACGGTGGGCACGACAAGCCTGGGGTGACAGGCGTGTACTGGACGAGGCCCAGGACCCTCCCGCCCGGCGCCACCTTCAAGCAAGAGATATTACATGGCTTCACGCTGTCTCCACAGAACGAGATCGATGCGATCATCCACGACGTCTCGAACGAGTTCCAGGGCACGTCGTACAATCTTTTGACAAAGAACTGCAACCACTTTACGGCGTACCTCTGCCAAAAATTGACGGGCCGGAGTGGGCCTGGGTGGCTGAACAGGGCCGCAAGCATCGGGGTGGCTCTCCCTTGTATCGTGCCGAGGGATTGGATCGAGCCGCCAGAGTTCGACACGCAGGGCGGCGACCTGCTAGACGAGGAGAGCGATTCGGATGAGAGGTCCAGGATGCTCCGGGAGTCTAGGGAAGGGCCTCGACTGGTTGAACTCCAGAATAAAGATGGCGATCCCGCCTTGAGAGCTGACGACAGCAATTCCCGCGGCGAACCCCATGGGGAACACCAACGATAGAATATGGTGGTTTTCACGTCACGCATGGACATTTTCTGGACCTCGTATCCGTGGTATAAACAAGGACCGACGATGCACATTATGTCGCCATGCCGAAACATCATGGCGATAGCAGTATTATTTGGGCATGCGTTATTGCTTTTGACTGTTGGCCTCGCTCTATGTAAAAGCCGGGAGGGGTTTTGCGAGTTCTTTCGGGCTGTCCCGGTATCCCGACTCAGTTTTCACGAAGCAGCCAGTGCTTTTTTTCTCACTGCAGATTCAGACAAGCTTGTGCGGATCGTTGGGTACTGATGTATGACATGGGATGTTGAATGCGACTCAGTGGCCATCAAGTTGTGTGATGGCTATTGATCCATCCTGCGTCGATGCTCAGAGGCGGGAGGTTTTTTGACATGGAACTGTGTAACTGGGTTGGTTTTCAAGGTCACTGGAGTCTGGAGTGTTTGAGCATTGTTCATGATATCACCAATGTATTTGTTATTTCTTCCCTTTTCTTTAATGTTTTTCTGTTCCCGGAGAAGGGGTAGGGAGTTTGAGTTATTGTATTCCCTCAGGCGGATTTTCATCTGGTCTTTCGTAGTGTGGGCCGCAAGAACATGACATGCCTGTAGTCAGACGAGAGTGAATGAGGTGAGGCTGTACAAACAGCTTTGATATTGTTTGATTTGAGCACATGGCGACAGTCTACAAGTTACTCTAGTATTCAACAACAGCCATTGCACCGCAGTATTATAACAATATGGCACTCTTGCTATGCTCTCCTTCATAAGACAGGCGGTAATGAGTCCTTGTCCTTGCATCTCACGGGTTTTCTGCAAATAATGATGTTGACTCCTAGTATGTTCACTGGGCCCTCAGCGCCAGCATCACGTCTACTAGAACATGATACAGGGTGCTCAAAGCTGACCTGCGAGGTAGACTCGGTTGTCATAGCATTATTTGTGAAGTCATCAGGTCTTGCTACTGTCCAGATTCTCTTCATATACATGATCTACTTTCACGTCTATAGGATTTCAGGTATACTGGCCTGCAAATTAATATTGTACGTCATGTGTATGCTGCTATTCTACAAACAACATCTTCTTGCGAAGATGGGAAGGATGCCTGGTCCATCTGGGAGTCTATTAGGAAGCAGCCATACCGTAATATGTCATGTTATAGTCTAAATATATATATTAAGAGAAGTACAGCACACAGCATCTCAGGGTAAGTATGTAGACTGACATCACGATCGGATGAGATGTTTCATTCGAAAGATGCTTTCTGATTTGTTGGTGGGATGAATGTTGCCAAGGATGGTCTGTCTGAATGACTCAGGATTGGGGAAATCTTTGGTTGCCATGGCTATAGCCTAAATGGAGATGCATCTGTTCCATGTCAAATCTACTGATTCCGCATGAGGGACTATGCATACTGTTCATCAGTAGAACAAAGAAAAAGATAAAGGTTGAAGGTAAAGTACCGGAGAAGCATGTGAAAGGCAGACACAGATGGATCTGGACCCATGGGCCGTCCTGCGGCATTCCCCACAGGGCCCTAGCTGCCCCAGCTCAAGGCTGGGCCACTGTAGGGGGGCAGGGGGGGAGGGGGTTGGTCAGGCCCACTGATTGGATGAAGTCACACCTGACTAGACGGATGGTGCTGAGCTCTCCTGAGTGTGCTAAGACAATCTATCAGCTTGACCTGCCACCTGGGAGGACTTCAGCCCATCCCTTCTGCACACATTTCTTTCCTCATCACAACGTTGTCAACTACCTTTCTCCACCTTCTTACTACCTTTTCAGCTACTGAGCATACTGTATTGTACTCAACAATCATTTTCTCCCCCTCTCTACCCAGAAAGCAAGCAGCTTTGTACTCCCAGCCCATGCACAGCAGTTGCAGCACCATCTGCTGGTGACATCAGCTCAAAACCCAACCTTATCGGTACCACCACCCCCCAGCGTGCGCATCAGCTCACTCAACCCAGCCCACCCATTGATGCAAAGAGGGGGCGGCCGACAGGCTGTCGCAGGTCACCAGTCGAATGAATGCAACCCCTAAACCCCTTCCTCGCTGCCTTCTTCAAGAGCCCCATCCCGTCGCAGTGCAGCCCGGTCCAGTACCACGTCCTCCTGGTTCCCACCACCGATGTCCTCCTCACCTCGCGTGAGGCCGAGGCCACTCCCGGCTCCAGCATTGCCGAGACCGTTTCTACAGACGACTTCCTCGCCAGCCATGTTCTGCGCATCCCAGACCCGACCAGGCCGGTGGGAGGCACCAACGGGAATGGCCCGGCCGGTGGAGGGAAGGACTCGATGCCGAACCTGCGCGAGATGAGGGGCAAGGCGAAGCAGTATAATACGATTAATGGGAGGAATGTCGTAATCAAGGACAACGTGGTGTATACGAACAAAGGTAGGTTCATCTACAAGGGTGTCGTGTTGGGTGGTTTGATATCCCGAGCTAACGCCAGCGTGCGCCAGGCTTCAAGACGTTGGCCTCTGCCAACCTCCTCGGGGACGCGATCTGGTACTCAGACACACTAGAGCCTAGGGGGTGGCTAGTCTACTACATCTCGCGACCGCTGGTGGGATCATGGGAGGAGATCAAGATCACGCCCGCAGTGCTCGTCGAGGGGACGAGGAGGGCCGGGGCACTACAACAGAATGGTGCATCACCACAGTCGGAGACCAGCGACGCCTCCATGGTACCCAAAAAGAAGGAGATTAAGAGCTTCCACGACCTGCTCAACCACTTTCCCATCATCGCGAGGCAGATGCAGACCGGGCTCGAGAAGCTGTTCCGCGAGTTCACATTGGTCATAGAGCGTCCATTACCACCGCCTCCATCAGCATCACATATTCCAGACCCTACACCGGAGGGACCCATCACTACAGCCACGAGGAACGCCAGGTCGAACAGCATGTCACAGGTTTCAAAATTGCCGTCTAACGGCCAGAGGGCGCAGAAATTTCTGGAGCCGTTCTATGCCGAAGATGACGAAGAGGTTTTCCGAGTCTCGCTAGAGACGGCCGTGACGAATGCGATCGATCTCTTCCAGAGTGTCGACAAACAGCAGCTATCACTTCTAGGTGCGACGACTGAGCTGACGGGGCCGGTGGTGGAGCGGCTGATCGAGCGCTATGTCACGGAGAATGTGCACAACATGCTGTTCCCTAGGCTGGCTGCCCTCAAGAGGCCCGAGGATCTGGAGCTCGAGGCCAAGATCCGACAGATGGATTTCATTGATGTGTCGCAGCTGGGTATTTTTATCGAGGGCGGCCATCGAGGAAAGCAGGAGCTCATCTCCAGGCTGGCGAGGGCTATTGACGAGTTCAAAAAGATCACAAATGCTGGAAGCCCACAGGAGATGATGGATATTCTACTATCGACCATGAAGTCTCTGACGCAGCTCGGAGATGCGCCTCCAATACCGGACAACCGTCCCGTGACGCCTTCTGCAGAAAAGACGATCCTCACCATCAATGCGGATACGTTGGTGTCACTCCTTCTCTTTGTTGTGATCAGGGCACAGATTAAGCATCTGCAGGCGCGATTCTTATACATGCGCCATTTCATCTTCGTGGAAGACGTCGACAGCGGCGAGATGGGATATGCCTTGAGCACATTTGAAGCTGTGCTCGTTTACCTTGATCGCGATTCGACAGGCCTGCGCAGGGCGAGCCATCGGAACAAGGTTCTCTGGGATGCGACAGCTCAGGGCGACCTCGAAATTTTGCAAAAGATCATGGAACCCAGTGGAAATGCTGTAGACGACGCGGTCAATGAGGAGGAAGCTGCTGCTCTGTCGTCGGCTCGATCGAGTCGGCGGGCATCCATGAGCAGCAGTCACTGGAGTTTCATAAACGGATCATCAAGGAGATCCTCCACCGTCTTGACGAACTCTGAGCGCTTCTCGATGGGATCCGACCTCAGTCACGTCTTTCCTTTCAACAGACATGAAGACCTGGATAGTACAACAGAATCCATGTTCCCACCCTTGAAACGCATTAAAAAGGTGGCCATGGATGTGCGAAGCCTCTCGAGCGGATCGGAGATCTCATTCCACTCCCGATCTGGGAGTATTGGGACCATTGGAAGCGGAATCGAGGGTGACACATCGATCGAGCGACTATCCCAGACGCAAGACTCGTTTGGCGAGTCTATTCTCATGATGGCCGTGCAAAATGGACGTCCAGAGGCCCTGACATATCTGCTCGGCCTCAAGTCCTACTACCCGCCGGACGTCGTCCTTGAGGACAGCAATAATGAAGAAACGACCCTCTTCAGCGCCGCTGTTCAGCTTGGCGACGAGAGGGTGATTCGAATCTTGTTGGACTTCATGAACAATGAGCCCGGCATTACGGAAGACAAGATGAGGTTGTATTTCGCTAAACAGGATGTATGGGGTCGCAGCGTGGCTCACTACATGTTCCATGCGCCTTTTCTAATTATCAACTATGGGAGGATGATGCCGTGGACCCTTCAGGATAAGAACGGGCAGACACCGCTCTTCGCAATATGCCGCTCCTACGACCATACGCTGTACCACGCGATGGTGCAGCAAGCCCTCGAGATCGCGACCGAGTGTCAAGGCGACGGGCAGCCCCTTCATCTCGACGAGCATATCGATGCGAAGGGCAACACCCTGCTCCACATCATCAACGATGCGCAGCTCTGCCTGAGGGTGCTGCAGAAATGCGACGCAGACGTCAACGCAGTCAATGATCGAAAGTTCACTCCCCTGATGGTGGCCAGCAAATATGGCCGCTTCGATGTGGTTCGAGCCTTCTTTGGTGATGCCAGGGTTGATATCACGGCCAAGGAACTTCGCGGGTTGACGGCTGTGGACCTCGCCAAAGATGACGATGTTCGCAACAAGATTGACGACCTTGTCCTTTTCGGTGCGCCTCCAGGAAACGAGTCTCGCACGACGGCCGTGGTGCGGTCCTATTTTGTTGAGGATGCCAGCATTCGCTTCGTGCTGAAATCTGGCGCGCCGGTGGACAAGCACAGTTATGCCGTGACGACCTGTAGGCGATCGCTGACGGACTTTGAGCACCTCGCGAAGCTTTTGTGCATGGAGAACCCAGCCTCGTGGATACCGTCTCTGGCCGGCTTGCGATCACCGTTCCAGATCCCCGTCAAGCCTAGCAGGGCGGTCCTCAAGGACCTGCAGATCAGGATGGACTGGTTCCTGCGCATCTTGCTGGCTCACCCGACGTTTGCGACCCACGAGATGCTGTGGGAGTTCTTCCTAGTACCGGATCTACAGCCTGACATGATGGAGCAGCGCACCAAGCTCAAAGCCGACACCCGTGTGGAAAAGGTCCGCGAGGAGCTCGAGCCTCTAGAGGATGTGCGCGAGGTTGAACAGTTTGTCGATCATGCCCGCGAAAACGTCCGCAGCGTCAACCACTCGACAAAGAGCGTCGCGCGAAGGACAAACGTGGTTGGCAATGCTGCCCTGGATCTATACGATTCGTCGGTGCTCCTGCATCGTGCTGTGTCTACCCTACCTTTCCTCCCGCCGGCGCATCTCACCGCCCTCGAGACCTACGTACGGGCCCTCTCACCTACATCAGCTCATCCCTACGCGGCATTTCATTCCTCGCAGCTTGCCTTGCAATCCACCATCGACGCCATCTTGACAGCACTCACGCGCCCGCCCCGGCTTATCAACCAGATCAATGCCTTACGCCGCACTGTAGAACGCAACTACTCGTCCCTCTCACGCTCCACCCGATGGCCGCTAGGACTTCTCGACGACGCCCGCCAGCGGCTCAACGAGGAGCGTGAGGAGAGGGTTCGTGCCGGCCAGGCTGAGGTGGACAATCTCTCCCGCGAGCTAAGGTACACCCAGCAGACAGTGGCGGCGGAGCTCGCAGGGTGGCAGGACATGCACGAGAAGATGGGACGCAGAGCGATACGGGAGCTCGCAAGAGGCATGGTCGTGGTCGAGAAGATGCGGCTGGAGGGAATGAGGCGAGCCCTGAGGAAGCTGAAAGAGTTCGGCGGCGCAGGTGGCGCTGAGCCCCTGCGACGTGGCAGTACTGGAGACGGCGGCGGTGATGGAGCCCCTGGGTTTTCCAGCCTGACCCCGCCTGTCGCGCTGGCTGGGCTCAACATGGCCCCAAAGCAAGAGGCCGAGGTTGACGCAGGCCTACCTGTGCAGTCAGACGCTGCCAGGACGCCAATTCCCAAGGAGATCATGAAGCTGGACGCGGAGGATTCAGCAGGTCCGAGCCCTACGGGATCCTCCAGCTCAGGTCAGGTCCACCGACCATTATTTGATGACGAGCTCCCTGGCGAGGAGGAAAGGGGCAGTGCTAGCAGGTAAGGTGACCGACAGACATGGCATAGCTGGTCCAAAAAGGGTACTGGGTCTACTATTCACACACGTGGCTGGACGACGGGTCTGGCAAAGCAGGCAGACGGGAAAGGTGGGGGCGTTATTTTGGACGGACGACGACAACGACATGGGGCGCATGGCAGTACAAGCAAAATGTGATCATAGAGAGCGGAGGGAGGAGAGGCTCTTCCCCCCCCCCCCCCCACGCATGTAGATTCGCAGGTGTTGATACTTTGGCCAATGGATACCCCTTTTTTCTTTTCTTTTTCTTTCCTTCCCTCAAATCTCGTATTGAAGTTGGGACACTGCCTGCCTGCCTGCCTTTCTGCCTGGGTGGCTTGGTGAAAAAGTGAACACACAAGGACGACCGTCGACAGACTGGACAGACGAGGCCACCAAGGAACATTGAACCCAAAGGAACGGGACAGTCCCCATCTCGGGATGGCGTAGGAGAGGGGCGGAACCACCCAGATCGAGTGGATGAGATGGCTTCACGATCCGACTTCAGATGACGACTTCGATTCAGACCCCAAATCGGGAGAAGGGAAAGGGGGGGGGGAGGAGATGTGGGAATGGGGATCGGGATGATGGGGAGTGGTGTGTGCTCGGAAGGGGTTGAACGGACCATCACACAGCCGCCAAATCTGCCTCAACAAAACAAGGTCTACTATCTGTTACATGACCAATGGAGTTATTGTGGTATGATGGTATGATGTGCCTACTTCGTCATCAACACCACCATCAAAGATAAAGTCCGAACAAGGTTTTTACTCTTCACTTCAGGAGATTCTGAATGGCCAACTGGTCGCCTTACTTTCTGGCCCCGTTCGAGTCACCTGAAACATACCCGACCCAAAGGACCCCACTCGCGGAGAGCCTCTTTCTTGTTTGCCCCCCTCTTCTTCTCTACACAAAGGAAGGACACCACCGATAAAGGAGGGGGAAGGGTAAGCAAGCTATGACTAGGGCAATATACTAGTTACATGGGCGGGATGTTGAATCGGATTCTTGATTTTCTCTCCGTCTCTTCTCTTTTCCCTCCTTTTTTCCTTTGCCAGGGTCAAGTCAAATTCTTTCTTCCTTGTCATTCTAGAACTTTTTTCCCGGGGGGATCAGAGCGCATGGGTAGGGCAAGATTGCGAAAGAGCGGTGTTGCCCTTGTCTACTGGGGGGGGTTTTTGACAGAAAGAACCCTTTACCATGCCCTGATCCTAGAACGAACTTGCAGTAGAACTATGGTAGGGGCAAGGAAAAAAGAGAGCAAGGGAGGAAGGAAAGAAAATCCACTCGACTGCAGAAGAACGCGATGGAAGTGTTCTCTCGTGTTGGTTTGTATTTACTGTAGTCGTACGAGTTCCTCATGGATTTTCTCGTGGTGGGCTTTAGTGTCAAAAGAGAGAGAGAGAGAGAAGAAAGAGAAGAAGAAGAAGAAGAAGAAGAAGAAGAAGAAGAAGAAGAGAGACACAGAAAAGGGGGGCGAGGTGTCTCCGATCGTCTTCGAGCTGAATCTCGAACCAGCCTCGATCTCGCACACAACCTAAAGAGTCAGGAACTTCACTTGGTCCCTTTTTCTCCTCTACCAAGTGCCAAAGTAAAATTCAAGGAAAAGCAGAGCAAGAAGATGGGATGCATGAACCTGCAATAAACCTCACCGCCGGTCAGGGCGACAAAGGATCCGGGCGCCGCCCCTACCAGGACAGATTGGCGATGGGCATGGCAGGCGGGTCCTCCGAAATCTTCGATCGGGAAAAACCGACCGAGGCGTCGGGTGTCCTCCCCCCCTCTCTCTCCTCTTTTTCTCTTTCTCTTCTGTCTTTTGTCGGGGAACACCATCGGCACCCCACTCTTTGTTTCAGGTTTTGAAGATGTTTCATCGTCGTTCGGGGGAAAACATGTGATGGGAGTGTGGCTCTTTGAGGGGGGGTCATCTTGTGAGTCATTCGTGCTTTGGGATTGGGTTGGTGGTAGTGGGGGGGGGTGGGTGGGAGGGTCTTTGGATGCAGGTGTTCGTTGGCGGTGAGCTGTCGATTCCTGGACCGGGGGGGGGGGATGTTTACTTCGGAGTTGGACTTGATAGTATAGCGTCCATACTACATAGTACTACGACACTATGCACGACTATGGGTATTTGCATGCTACATAGTAGTAAGTAACTCATGGGAAAAGTGGATATGGCAACGTTCCTTTTTCCCGTCTCCCCGCAAGGAAACCGAGCGAGGATACCGCAGTAGCCTTGAGAGAAAATACGAAAGAGGCGAGGTGCCGATGTTGACAGATGCATTGTATCATAGTGCGTAGAGTAGATCACGAGGATGTAGCAGGAAAAGTAAGAGAGAAAAAGGATGGCTGGGAAGAGAGCAAGAGGCCCATCTCACACACACACACACACACACACACACACAACGCATACACAACTGAAGATGGTACAACATGCGCACACTAAGATACATCACACCTTAGTGTACGAGACCAATTTGCAGATCGAACGAAAAGAGAGAATGAGAAGAAAGAGAAAGACAAGGAATTGTAAGAGTCATAATCGGAAACAAGCCACTGGATGCATGGTGTTGCAAAGGGGGGGGAGGTTGCGAAGGTGTGGTGCTCCCTCCCAACACTAAATGTACGCGAGAAAATGAAGAAGAGAAGGAGAGAGGTTCAACGCTCAAAACCCGTCTTTTCTTCTTCGCGGTCATCGTTGACGCGACCTGCTTCAACGTGAGTGGTCAACTTTTTGCGTGGTTCCTGGCCGACGAACGAACCAATGACGGTCGAGTGCCGGGAGAAGGGGGTGTGCAGACGAGGTCTGGTTCGCGCCGTGGAGGGTGAGCGGAACCCCTTGGAGGTCCCCACTTTATGTTTTGTTTCTTCCTGCGGTGGCTTGCATGTTCTCCTCTCCGTCTTTGTGGACTCTCTTTCCCCTCTCTCCCATCTTTCTTCCTCTTTTTTTTTTTTCACTTACTACTATAGTAACTTAAGATCGACCCATCCGGGAAAGATTGACAGGCGGGTCTTCTCTCCTGGTCAGGTAGGATTTGGGGGCTCGAGCTTTTTTGGCCCGAGTGGTCTTCTGTAAGGGTTGGGTGGCCTGGGTTTGCTTGTACTATTGTAGCGAGAACCCTCTTCTCGTGCCTGATTTGTGCAGACCAGGGCGGCTGGTGGGCGATATGGGAGGTCTGTTAATACTATAGTATGAAGTCCAGAATTGAGGCTGTGCAGGCAGGCCATCAAGGCAAGGACAGCATGATAGGGAAGAGAGAAAGAAATCATCCGATTCGTCCCCTTGTCATGTTGTAATCCATCGCATTTCATCGTTGCATCGTTCATTTTTTTTTTTTTTTTAGTACGTAGACGCGGGATAAACGATGCGGTCTCTTTCATGAACAATCAAGCCACTACTACTACGTACGACTCTGGTGCTACCACCACCATCGAAATCTCAAACAGCCGCCCAGGTGGGTTGTCCAATGAGGCATCGTAAAGGCCATCCGCCGAAGAACCAGAAAAGCAAAAAGCGAGATGTTTAATTTAATATGCTCACTTTTTGTTTCTTCAATGCACAGCCGCGGTCCCGGATGGCCTACACGCCGCGCGCTTGTGGTTGATCTACTTTATCTCGCTAAAGGGCCGCGCCGCCCCTTCGCCATTGTATCAGATCAGGTCCAGCTGCTCAAGGACGCGGGAAGTATTTTTGCGTATGTCTCTTTCCTTAAGCGCCAGGCAGCCTACGAAAAGGGGGGGGGGGGGGAAGGGCCAAGGTCGGGAATCAAAAGAGATACAGAGAGTAGACAGAGTCGTAGCCGCCCGCTTACAGGGGCCACCACCACCAAATTATCTACCAACCCACCAACTCAGCCCCCAAGCGCCAGAATCCCACCCTTTCCCCTTTTGCCGAAAAGTGCACTTTTGTTCTGCCGCGTGTGCATAATGCCATCTTCTCTTTTTTTTGTGAGAACCAAGGGAAAAAATGACAGATCTGGGCCAGAGATTGAGCAGATGGTTACTGCAAAGGCTGTGTACTTGTGCTGTTTTGGGTTACACCCACCAACTCAGCAAGCGGCAGCAAAGCCAGCAAAGCAGCACATGGCAAAGTTCAGATGATGGATGGTTTGAGGCTACATGGTTTGGGGGATCGATATGATCATGCATGCTGCTTCTGGCCTAGACAGTGCGCTGGCCGCCCCCCACCCCATCCAAAATAAAGGCAGTCTATGTTGTCCGTCGCCTTTCGAGGCTGTCGAGATGCGCATGCACCAATTTTGAAGCACTGGGAGCAGTGACCGACTATACGAAGTAGCATTTCATTGGTCCGTTCTGGCTAGGCCTGATCTGCTACAGCTGACCAGAAGGAGGGGGGGGCGCCTGCCTCAACCGCCCTGGGGCCAGGGAACCAGGCCAGCGTCAGAATGCTAAGCCTCACTTTTCAATCTTTCTCTCTCTCTTCCTGGGGCTCTGACTACACAGAGGATACGTTGGGTCGCAGCACAGTCAGGCCTTAGACTAATGTCACCCCTGGGTCTCAAGGATGGAGCGATGAAATACATGCATGATACTGCTCTGTGCTGGCAACTCATGATCACCTGCCCTGCTGACTGATCACACAATCAGATTAATGCGGGTGGTGGGTTCCGATGAGCTGTTGCTCTGTTATCTTCAGTCACTCAGCGTCTGCCAGCTGTCAAAACTAAGAGGGGCTTCCTTCAGCAGCAGCAGAGAGATCATGAGGTTGGGTTGTACGGTCAGGTGGATTTGGGCAGGCATACAGCGCAACAAAGGGACAAGGGGACCGACCAACAGGCCCAGGCCCCTAGCAAAATAGGGCACCCACGCATGTACCATACTAGTATTGCACCCGGAGGATCCAGGATCTGCAGACCAAGATCAGATCCGGAGACAATCGGAAGCTGCCCGACTCCTCTCTTGCTCCTCAAAAACTCTAGCACAGTACCTGAGTAGTGTATGTACTAGTACTGCCAACGAAGCAAAAGACAATAGACAAAGGCAAGGCAAGGCAAGGGGATGGGGTTTGTGGGTTCAGTGCCGTCAGAGGTTCATGCCCGGTGACTTTTTTCATACCTCGACCTGACGTGTCACTGTCGAGAGAGGAACACGAATGCAGGTCACGATGATGTTATCAGAAACCAACTCACACACATACACGCCCCGCCGCGTTCCTCGTCTTCTCGTCGGGTTCGGAGAGGCGAGGCGCGTCCGTCCCCGCGGCGCTGCCCAACATAACGTGTTCGTGCTGCAACAGCTGCCGTCTGCATATGCGGCCTTAATCCCGCACTCTGGAGGGGTGTTTTGGGTGGTGTGTATCAGGTGAGGCATAGAATGGAGAAGGGGTATGGAGGTGACCTCATTCGTCATTGTGATTATCACATCTTGCAGCATCAATCAACATCTTCCATCTTTCTTTGCATCGTCTACCAGAACGACGGAGGAATGCTGGGGGGTTGGGGGAAAGGGTTGACCCACCGCTAGGCATGCACGACCTGCTTAGTACTATGGTATTTTCACGCCATTCATGCAGAGGAAGGAACTAAGAGTCAGGTCTGATCTGCCATCTGGGCTTTCTTGACTCTTTCTCTTTGCTTCCACAGCGTTGCCTCAGCGTTGCCCTCCTCAACCACGAGCACTAATACGACTATACTGAGTACTGAGTTAGTAGCATATGCTGTACAACCACACACTACACTGTACTACCACTCACTCGCCTACCACGCACCAAGTAGATCAAAGATCGTCACAGTATGACTCAAAGGATAGCGCCAATGCAGCTGCAGCACCCCATGGCGGCCCCTTCCCACCCCCCCCCTGCTCTCACCCCACAACGCAGTGGCCACTCACAGTCCAGCATGCTGAATTTACCATAGCACAGCGCAACTCCCCGTCTCTTAGTGTCCCATCCTAATCCATGGACCTCTACTGGCGGTCAACGTTCTCTCTAACCCCTTTCGGGAACCAAGATGCAGCTTCCAGGCTTTTTCGTCCAGCTTCGTCTGTGGGGTCCTGCCTTCCCATCCGGAAAAGCCTCTTCTCTTCTTCCTCTCTTTTTTTCTTTTTCTTGGCCTGCAGCAGTAGTGCTCATGTACTGCAGTAGCTTTCTTGTCTCTGCAGCTAACTCAGTACCCGAGGCAGGGATCACTTTTCGCCTTGGGGAGGAAAAGGAGAAGAAGATGACCAAGACGAACCTAGTTGAGGGAAAAACACACGATCCACGCATGTCCACCGCATCGCCTATCGCGTCTTCTCTCCACGTCCTGCCTCGCCTCGCGTGAAGAGAAGAGGCTCCATCGCCATGCATCTTCGAGATTGGTCTCACGAGGCCCAGCCTGCTGGGGGAGGGGGCGGTGGCCCCATAATACCATGTACAGTTTGTATGTACCTTTTTTCTTTTCTCTCTTTCATGGGTTCTGTTGGGTAGCCCCCATGTCAGTTCACTCAGTCAGTCGCTCACTCCCCCAGCAGCAGGACAAGACCTCGACAAAACCTGGTTCTTCCGAGATACATCCGCGACAGACCGCCGGTCTCTGCGAAATCCAAGTACCCTCGCAGTTTCTCAGGCTTCATGCTTCCTGAGATTTCGATCATCTCTCTCTGTGTCCCCCTGCTCTTTTGGGTCGACATTCACCTGCAGGTCTCGTGGCCGTAATGACCCAGCAGCAGTAGCAGGAGCAGAAGCAGGAGACATCTCACATCTGGGGCGCTGTCTAGAATCACTTACACGCATACAACGTGTGTCCTTGTGACAAACGTCAAATGTTCAATGTCAATTGTCAAATGTCAAATGTGAAATGTTGAAATAGACCAGCGGCAGAGACAAGAACAGGTCACCTTCGTTCAGCACGTTTCAGACATGGCTACCGAACTACGCAACCGCGCTGCCCACCCTCGAACCCTGTTCCCGATTGGGGGTGGGGGACTTGGGGCCATTTTCTCTCTCTCTCTCTCGCTCTCTTTTTCTTTCTCTGTCAGTATATGTCTCTCTCTTTTGGGTAACGCCAGGGTTTATTCTGGCCGCGTACGATCCAGACCACCCAGCCCCAGGCTTGTACCAAAAGAGGAGAGAGGTATAAAGAAGACAAGTGAAGAGGAGAGGTAACTATGTACCATTGTACTATACTATGGTAGCTACTATGGAAGTATACTCTCTGGCTTGCATGGTACCTTGAGCTGCAGCTAACTACGTACTATAGACTAAAAAGAAAGATATCCACTCTCTTCCGTCCCCTACCCTCCTTGTCGTTCTCCTACCGCGGCTTACACGCCACGCCCCATGGACCCGGGCCTGATGGGGCGCGTCTACAACAAAATCGCGGTACCCTGGTCTTTTTTTTTTTGGAGACCACAGAGCTGCGGTCGGCTTAGGCTTCCCGGGATATACTCAATCCATGGCTCTCCATCCAGGCCTGGCTTGGATGATGGTAACCGCCATGTCGACCGCTCATCCGTCCTGACCTGTGACGAGGATTTAAACATGAGCAACCTCCCCCCCTCGACCTCGCTCTGTCTCTTCCCACCTTCTTATGTCCCTTTTACAATCACGCTTCTTGTTTTGGTCTTTTTCCTCTCTATTCATCATCATCATCATCATCCTTCCCTCTTCGATTCATATCACGCTTACATCCTTTTTCTTCCCTTTCTACTCTTTTTGACCTTGTCATCCATTATCACTTTAACAAAACAAACCCACACTTTTTTTGTTAAAGAGACAATATACACAAGGGCTTGAAGAAAAGGGCCGGGCCGTTTGATACGAGACCTTTTTACGCTTGTTCATCTTTCAAATCACCTCATCAATTGTCATCGGAGCAGGACTCCTGTCAGATTCGCTCTTGTCAAACACCACCAGAGACTTATAATTCCCACAAATATAATCCTGCTGCGTCCTCGTGCCCAGCAGAACTGACAAAATGACCACGTGAGTTTTATCTTCTTCTTTGCCTTTCTTGTCCCTCGCCTTCTATCTCTGGGGGTGTAATAAATAAATAAAAAATTGATTTACTAATTCTTTTGGGACAACAGTCTCTCGGGGGATATCACATTCGACTTCACATTCCCTTGTGACCCAGCAACCCCTCCTCAGTACAGCTTTGACGCCCCATTACTGGAGATGCCTGCTGTACACAACAACAGCAGCCACGGTCACTCCCGTGCCTCGTCCACCGCGTCCACAGCCTACTCTCTGGACTCGTCACCATCACACTCCATCGCCACCACCAGCACCAGGAGGACCACCCCCTCCCGGTCGCCTGTGGTCAGGACACATGGCCCCCTCCTGCTGCCCAAGATCAGAAGCCAGGACCAGAACATCGTGCCCAACATGGTCCCCATCGCACAGTGCCAGTCGTCGTCCAGGCCCTCTAAGCGCGCCAGGACCTCGCCTGCCCCGTCGTCCATGAGGAGTGCCACCAGCAGCTACCGCGGCCACTCTCGCAGCATGACCAACCCGGAGAACATCTACAACCCCAACCCCGTGCCCGTCGCCTACTCGCCGCCCATGAGCCAGGAGGGCAGCCCTACCACACTGATAGGCTCTCCCGTCCTCTTCCCTGCCAACAGCTTTGCCGTCCAGCACCCCTCGGCCCCTGTCGTCGACACCACCCGCTCGCAGCGTGCCTCGTCCTGCAACCTGGACGACGTCACCGTCGAGAAGTTCGGCTTCCCGACCTACCGTCAGATGCCGTCCTACGTTGTGGGGCCCAACCCTGCTGCTGCCCAGGCTGGATCCTGCGGTGTCGTGAGACAGGAGTCACCTGCCGCCCCAGCCATGATGCGCGTCTCGTCCTCGCAGTCGGACATGACCGCTATGCCTGCGCCCAGCTCGTACTTCCAGCCCTACGCCCACCAGCAGCACCAGCACCAGCAGGTCTACACCCAGCAGCGTGACGTCTCGCCTGTGGCCGCTCCGGAGCCAGTCCAGCAGCTTCAGCCCACCGTCAGCAACGCCGCCAGCAACACCACCATCCTCAACTACCTGACGGCGGCCAACCCTGCGCCCAGCCTGGTCCACACCATCTCCTTCCCCCTGCGCGATCCTCACACCAAGCACTTCTGGTGGGATGTGCGCCAGATCCGCCCCTGGACCTCGTTCAACACCTCGACGGTGCTCTCTCTGTCCAACGGCGCTGCCGCCTCTCTCCTTACCTGCCCTCTCCCCTCCACCTACCTCCCCTCGCCTGCTGCCCCCACCCAGCGCCACCCAGAGACCGAGTCCGCCCTGGCCGCCATCTACGCGTCCTGGTACCTGCCCCGCCTGAACGCTGCCCTGGCCCTCTCGTCCAACCGGCCCCTGCAGCTGGCCGTCGCCCCCAGGACTGGCCCCCACGCCACCCGCGACAGCGAGCAGACCATCGTGGCCACCGTCCCAGGTGATGCCTCGAGCGCGGCTGCCATCTTTGGTGGCAAGCCCTCTGCCCGTGTTGTCGGCCTCGTCAAGTCCTTTGACCGCTTCAACACCGGCATGCGCGTCGAGGGCAACGTCAAGCGCGTCGAGTACCTGCGGGGCCTGGCCCACCTGCACCACGTCATGCGCGAGCACGGGTGTCGGTATGGGTTCATCCTCACCGAGATCGAGCTCGTTGTCGTGCGCAACGGCCTCGAGGGCACTCCTCACTTCGGCTTCGTCGAGGTCACCAGCTGCCAGCTTGCTGCCACCGGCAATGCCACCACCGCCGCCGTCTCTGCCGACGGTGAGCTGGACGCCGAGTCCGTCCCCATGACGGCCTGCCTTGCCCTCTGGGGCCTGTGCATGCTCGCCTCGGACGAGCCTCTCCCGCAGGGCCACGCTGCCTGGCGCGCCGAGATTGGTGCGCCTGCTGAGGGCACCCGCAGGAAGGCTCTGCCTCGGGACAGCTGGATGCCGCAGCCGCAGCTGGCCGAGAAGCGCGAGGCCAAGAGGAGCCGTGGCTGGGTCTGGCCTGAGGACCCTGTCGGTCGCAAGGAGCTTGGGAAGAGGGGTGTTCGGTACGGTGCTTGCTGAGCGGGCTCCCTGTTTCCAAACACTCTGGTCTGCACCTGAGCACAATGACATGAAGATGATGAATGGTTAATGGAATTTTTTTCTTCTATTTTTATTTTATCGGGAGGATGATGATGGTTTGGGGGGACTTGTACATGACAACGGGCCATGGGTTCTGGGAAAGGGTGTTAAAAGGGGTGAAGGTTTTCCATGAGATTCTTGTTCAACACTTGTTCATTTTTCCATTCTTGATTGTTTTCTGCTGTGCAGATGACTTTTCGGGATGGGGGCATGAACTACAAAGATCTCTTCCTTCTTTCCCCTTTTTTCGCCTTCCCCCAGGCCTGGAGGGCAAGACCTGGGGGACTGGTTTCCCTTTCGGTCATTGATGATGAAAAAGACAAAGACATTCAAGTTTTAACCTTATTTCAGATAATGAGGGAAAGAAGGAAAGGAGGGACATTTGGGATAAAAACGGCACACGCCACAACACAACAGACAGGCTCTTGGATGAGACCTGGTCTTATGATATGATGCATGATAACTTTGATGGAATTGGGTTTTAATGATAATTGAATGTCATGAGTACCCATACACACAACGAACTGTTCCGAACTTTGTCTTGAAAGTGATGATTATGATGATGAGGATGACGATCAATTGAACGTCGCATGAAGTCTTCAGTGCTGTTCGTTCACCTAGACGTGCATACTTTCCAAGATTCATACCCAACTTTGAACTATCAAAACCACCACCACCACCATCATCCAGTATCACTCACTCCCTTCTCCCACTCTTCTCCATTTTCCAACATAGAAACCTCCTCAGATGAACCCCCCTACTACCTCGAATTCACTCAACCACGAAAAGGGTCGGCCCAGTATACTCCTGGTAAGAAGCCGCGCCATCCACAAGAACAGGAAACTCGACCGCATCCCAGAACTTGGCCGCCGCCAGCGCCTCGCTCGCGTCCGCCAGGAGGAGGGTATAGTTTGCCGGCGACGTGCCCGAGACCGCCACGGCCTGGAACGACCAGATGTACGAGGGGTCCTGGCAGGCCGTGAAGGGGACGTCGGGGAGGGTGTAGGCGGTGATGAAGGAGGCGTTGCAGGTTGTGGGGAAGGGGTCTTGGTTGGTGGCTACTTGGAAGGAGAAGCTTTTGTTGGGGCGGGAGGGTGTCCGGGTTTTTCTCTCAGCACCGCTTTGATTGATATTGTAATTGGGGGAGGGGTCTTTTTTTTTATTTTTTATTCTTTGGCTTGGGAAAGGGAGGTTGAGGCTTACGAGCATAGGGTTCCGTGAGGTTCACAGCCGGCGTAGAAGTCGGAGACGTCGAATTGTTCTGCGATGATACGTTTCTCGATTGGGGTTGCGGAGGCTGCCGGGGCGAGGAGGCCCACGGCGAGGGTGGTGAGTAGCACCAGGTTGGATATGAGTTGCATGGTGAATTATTATCAACTGGATTGAGAGGTGAAAATCGAGATGAGAACCACGTTTTGAAAGTCCTGCAAGAAGGATGATGTTTGTTGTTTTCCAATTTGTACAATGCTCTCAACCCTCTTCATCTCTATGGCTGCTGTGATAATCATCTTTATACAAAAGTCAGAGCACGCTATTGTCCACACGAGGTAATTTGCTTGTTCAGCAACCCAGATCATATGTATTTTATTTGTATCCATGTCTTCACAAATTGTCGGTGTGGCCCTTTGTAGCACATAGGCACTTACTGAGCAACCTCGTATTACGACCAACTACCGCCAAATCATGCCAGTTAGCAGATCACGTTCTGTCTCAAGAGCGGAATACCCGCCAGATAAGATCTTGGCCACAAGTGGCAACTTTGGGACGCATTTCCAAGGCTATTGATTGCTGGATGAAGTAGCTGATTACTATACAAGACGCGCTTTAGGGTCGGATGTCTCTTGCGCTTACTGATGTTGAGTATCTGCTCGTTCATGATGCCAAGATTTGGAGTATAGCCAAGACCTTCTTTTCCTGTCGAATAATTGCGAGAGGAACTTTTCTTATCACGCGTGGTCTATGGTTTCCGACGGAGGAAAATTTTAAGCCGGATTGCATTGCTTATAATGAATCGTACCTCACCTAATTACCTCAGCAAAACCCAGAAGATGAAGATTCCACAGTCCAATACATACTGCTCCTGATGTCCAGATTCGCTGGCGATAGTGACGGTCTTCAATGAGGATGATGGAACTTTCAAATACTTCCAAGAGATCTGACTGAGCTCTCAACAAATCTCATGCGCAGGACAGGACAAGATCTAAATCGTAGTCTGGTCAAATAGTGCTTATACCATTGCCGGTCCAATTTGCAAGATCTAGGACTGAACGACAAGCTTCTAGAAACGTTTGTGAAAAAGTCTCATGTGAAAGATCCTCTTATCAGTACTTCTCTCTGTTTAATGAGAGTTGCCATGCAGAACCATAGGTTCTCAAGGAACACAAGCGTTGAGTAAGATAGAATGGTCAACTTGGAGCTAGCCAGAATGAAGATGCCTTGTGCAAACATCGGATCATGTATGCAAGCAGGTGAGGATCGCTAAACTAATTAAAACTGCTAGGACTTTTCTTGTTTCTCTTTTTCTATTTTTTTCTCTTCCTTTCTTCCTTCCTTTTCTTTCTGCTCAAGGATGGGATGTGAAGAGGTAGCGACGGTGTTCGTATGTATAGCATACGGATTTTTTTTTTTTTTTAAAGTCAACACCCCCTTTTCCCCATGTAAAACTCCTGGCCAGACCTCCTCACCCTTTGTCACCTGTCAATCCTGTTCATCCTCAGCGCATCCGGCACGCCCTGGTCCATCAGCTCCACCTCGTCACTGAGCTCATCGTCAGCCCTCTGCTTGTACTGCACGCTCACGCTCGTCGTCTTCATGATGTCGCCCGGGCCGCCGCCGCCGCTCCCGCCGTAGGTCCTGAGTCCGCTGTTGAGCATGCGCGAGCCGCCCTTGCTGGCGCTGCTGTTGTTGCCGTACGAATTGCCGTAGGACTGGCTCCTTTTCTTGTCGTCGTGGGACTTCTTGATCCGGCGGAAGAGGGAGGCCATGCCCGGCAGACAGGCGCAGATGACGCCTGCGTTGAGCTCGATGAGGGACCAGAGGGCCAGGGCCGCGTAGTCGTAGGTCTGGTTGGTCGAGGAGGCCCAGCCGGCGAGGTACTTGAGGCGGATGATGGAGCAGACGGTGACGAAGAGGCCGAGGAGGAAGGTGAAGATGACGCCGATCTTGGTCTTCCAGTCGGTTTCGAGTTTGATTCTGTTTGAGGGAGGAAGGATATCAGCCATTGCATGTCCTTTTTCTGTTTTGGGATATCTTTTCCCCTGCTTCAGAGAGAGTGGCCGTGGCCAGTTGGGGGAGGGATACTCACAATTTAGGAATGGGCATGAGGAAGATAGTCACGTCCATGATGATGTTCAGGGAGGCACAGACATATGTTTGAGCGGTCATGTTGATGCATGTTCCGCTGTGCCTGTGGTCCCACATTGTCCAGACATAGGTGAATGGCACGCAGTAGGTCAAGAGCGTGATGATAAACGCGAGTGCGAAACAGACGATAAAGGCCAGCATGGAGAGACATGCCACCCGAAACCCTCTGGATGGAAAGATGCGCAGGTATAGAACCACAATCGACGTCTTGGTAAGGGCGCTCTCGATAACGTAGGCGAATTCGGCGACGTAGAAAAGCTATTGTGACTTTTGTCAGCGCTGCTCCCTACTTGGGTAGACAAGGTTATATAGTATTATCAGACTTACAATCAGCACGATGGTGACACGAGTGCTGTCGAGTTGCCAGATATCTCGGCCCATGCCAAAGTCAAACACTATTTATTTGGTAAAATCACCCATCATTAGTGAAAAGGTCTTGGCCCGTGTATGGATATGCTCTCCAATGATAATGAGAAACAAAAGATCATGTTGAGACTTACTGAGCTCGGCGCCAATGGACACAGCAGTAAGAACGGCGAAGGAGGCGACGATGAACCAATCATCATACCAGAATATGCCGCCAAATCGTGACGTTCGTGCGATCATACGACTTCCAAAGCACGCGAGGGCGACGGCGTAGAGGGTCCAAGAGATGGACCGCAGGTGACTCGCCTCATCGTGTTGCGTGGCTCCGCATGCCACTTTGACGTATTGTTCCCCTCCTACACACACAGAGTGAAAGATCATGTCAGCCCCATTGCGACTTTCCAATTCATAAAAGCCCACTCCGTTTCCCCTCGCTGCTCCTCTGGCATTCCTCTCGACTGGGACTCACGTAGGCTCTCATCCACTGTGCAATTCGGATTGCCGCACTCCCTCATGTAGTCGATAATAGCAGCTTGGTTGGTGCTGGAGCATATGCATGTCATATCGGACGTCGTGCAGGTCGAGTTGGCCACGGCCGCGGTGAAGCATGTTGCCTAAGAAATGCGAGAATGGCCCATGTCAGCGCCTCCAATGCACTGCTGCCAGAGAGTAAACCCCCCCCCCCCCCCCAAACAAAAAGACACTCCCAGGGAGAGCAAAGTGCATCATGACCTACCTCGCACTCGGGCAGACTGACGACCAGTTCCGAGTATGTTGCTTGTATACTCCTGCTAGTAGGCTGTGCTGCAACGACCGCCGAGGAGACGAATACGCAGGCCACTAGCGAGACGACGAGCCTCGTTGCTCGTGAGGTGAGGAGATACATGGTTGTCGGTCCCCCGCACATACACAGACACACACGCGCGCGTGCACACACACACACACACACACACACACACACACACACACACAACTCTTGACTCGTCCGTCAAAGCATAGACCGTCACAACTTAGAAAGGTGGTGGTGCCGTCAAGTCCGAATAGCGTTGTCGAGGATCATGGAAGAAAAGAGCACACACCCGAGGGCTTTGCAAGTCCGTATGCAGCCAGGCAAACAACTTGTATGAAAACAAGAGAGCGAGTGGCTAAGTGTGAGAGAAAAGAGAGAGGTAGGAGAGGTAGATCTGGGGAACCACTCGGCACGTGGCGGCGGAACCTGTCATAGTTTTGTTCTCGTTACGATGCAGAGACAAGACCCCCCTTGAGTGCGCGCGTATGTGGCTGCTCACTCGGCTGCATGGTTTACAGCTCGCCTGCGCCAGGGAAAAGGAATTTCGAACCCGGATATCAGGTGGACCAGGAGCGGGACCTCTGCCAGGGACTCAAAACGGTCGTCGAGGGAGGGGTGTTTTTTTTTTCTTTCCCCTTCTATTTACCCCCCTACTCCGAACGAATTTATGTTCTCAAGTAAGACTAGACCCGCAAATTCACCCTCTCCCTCTCTCGCTCTCTCTCTCTCTTTCTCGCTCACTGTCTGTGCTTCCGATGTACGATGCCGGACCGGTGTGGTTGAACCAAGCGAATTTCTCCTTGGCTGCACTAAAGTGAACCACGGCAAGTGGAAGAAGGATCATTAGTTACATATTATGGTAGTATGCTATAGTAGTATGCCCGTTTTTTTTTCTTTTGCCTTCTCCAGCCAGGCCATTTTTTCTGACCACCCCTCCAAGCCACTACGGTAGTCCCGTCTAAACTGTCTTCCTAGGCCCGGACCGCAGCTTTAGTTCCTTCGGGTCAAAGTCTGGGGGCGCTTTCGCTTTTCTTGGTGCTCTACTGTACGAATGATTACTAGCTGCGAGGGGTCGTCCCCTCGGTGCTGCCGCACTTTCGCTACGCTCCGGGGGAACATGTCAGCTCTAACAAGAACTATAGGTTGCATACTGCGTAGTATGGTATAATAGTACATAGTACGCAGTTCAATCACTGCGGCATAGTCGGGTCAGGCTGACTCGCGGGAAAAAATGGGAAGTCTTGCTATGGGAAAATCAGTAGTAGAGCTTGATTTTGGGGGGCTGGCCAAATCATCTAGGATGGGTCGGGGCCCCTCCTGCTCCTCCTCCTTCCCGCGGTTGTTCTTCGGGGCCGAGCTTGGTATTGAATTCAGGGGTTTTTCTGGGTGCTGCTGGGGCGGGCCAATATTTAGGAGGCGAGAGTAGGCCAAGTGAAGGAAAAGACCAGGGCACGCCCGTGACGAAAGCACAGACAATGCGACGCCAATGATTTAAAATCAAGAACAGGCATGAGACGAAAAAGGTATATCAGGTAGATCATATAAACAATGCAGGGCTGGGATGACCTTTTTTTCCTTTCTCATTGTTGGTTTGCAAGGTAGTTGAAACCTTGCATCGAGCGATACTACTGCAGTCCTCTGGTACACAGGATAGCATAATGGTGCAAGCCAAAGGGGCTGGGCCGTGCAGATCATTCCTACCATGGTATCTCTGGTTTACTACCATAGTACTATGCTTGTTTCTACGTATCAATTTAGTCCCATGTAAATCACAAGATCCAAGAAGCAATCGAGTTGCAGAGTCCCACTGTCAGTGCTCTGATAGACGTTCGCCCACTTTTTGAATCGATCTTGTGTTCCTGAGAAATATGGGCCCGACGTGTCTAGACTCCAGGCGGGATCGATCACTGCAATGATCGTCAGCAAAAGCGATCGGAAGTACCCTTAAAATATGGTGAACCGTAATTCTTTCTTTCATCCCCATGGACTTGTCAGCTTTATAAACTTTGCGCTTTCCTTTTATTACCTTTTGCTTTTTCTTTTTTTGGGCTCGAAACGGAAGTCTAAATCCCAGTATACTCAAAAATGATTAGCTTTGCGAGATACACGCTGTGGCTTGTCGTGGGTGGGGCGGCTCTTCGTCTCGAGGTGTGTGTGTGTGTGTGCTACACCATGGTTCTCTGTGTGGCACGTTGCTGCAACTCCAGAACAATCTCCCGACATGAGTGAATTGTCGTAAAAATCCGTATGCAGGTCCTGCTGTCTGTGAATGTAGATAGTAAGGATATGATCATGGTTAGGCCAGCCGGCTTCCTTTCCTATACCCTCCCACTACAGCCGGCCCAGAATCCAGGAAGGGAACACGCCCGGACCGGGGAGAGGGGGTTCGTGGTGTGATTGTGTTTGCCTCCCCTAAAACAAACCCCCGTACGGAATTGCAGCTGCGGCACTTGTCCATAAGCGAGGTGCGCAGTCTTTCCCGGCTACCGCGTCTGCATGGAGGTTACATCCCAAAGTGTCGCACCAAATTTCCATTGTCAAGGAGGCCCTGTTTGACGAATTTACGAGAATGGCCGAGCCCGCTGGTCTGCGAGATACGTGGTCTCGTGGCGGACGCAACACCTGATTGGGCCGTGTTATATGTGTATTATGTTTGATAGTTGACAAGAAAGAAAGAGTGAAGAGCGCACCAGGCCACTGACGACACCATCCTCGCCATCACCAAGCTAATTTTGTAGTGTTGAGGGTTGGTCATCCTCTATACGGCTGTATACACTGGGATCGCTCTCTGATCCTCGCTCCACCGATCAACAGCACTGCCTGCGACCCAGCCGTCTGGCACAAAGCTGGCCCATGAACAACAGCATTGCGATTTTCACAGACACCTGGACATCGCGGTTCGTACCGTTGGGCCAGGCGAGCCTTGACGATCGCCGTTACTGATCTGCGTGTTGATTACTGTAACGATACTCATGAGACGAGAGAGGGGAAAACAAGAAAGGCAAGTAAAACCACCAAGGTTCTGGACCACCACCGAGAAACGGCCTTGTGGGGGGGGGAGGGGGGTTTCTCGCTAAGAAGACAAACCTCGTTTCCCATCTACCCCTGTCGGAACCTCACCATCATGACAAGATTCGGGCTGGGTCTTGAGCTGGTTCGAGCAGGCGGAGAAATCCGCGAGATTGAACACTCCATTTTGAGCGGAGGGCAAGCTGTCACTTGGTAATAAGCGGGAAGTATAATCTCCAGTGACAGCTGGATATTCTCCGCAAGACAGCTATCGCCCGAGTCATCATCCATCACACCGGTTCCGACAAGAAAGGAGGCTCTTTTTTGGTGGTAAATTGGCATTTGGTTATGCGAGGTCCGCATTTGGGGTGGTGAGAATTGTTGAGCACTTCAGCTGTTGGCAAACTCGTTCTCTAGAGAGATCAGATAGATCCATAGGTAGTACAGCTTTACTGGAAGAGGGCATCACCTCTCTCCGCTTAGGCAAGGCACGTTTCGCAGTGGTGGGCCCTGCGCGAAAGATCGACAGTAATTTGAAGTTCCCAGGGGTACACAGTCGACGCGAGTGCGAAGCTGCTTACGCTAGCTAGAGGGGATTTCTTGGTATCTTGGTATCTCTGAATTGGAGCCAAAGATATTTAACTTGGATAGAATGGAAGAAGTTACAGAGGTTGTAGAAAGAAAGAAAGAAAGAAAAATGGGGAGAAACCAAAAGAGGAAGAAAAAGCGAGAGCAAGGGAGACAGAGAAGAAGAAGAAGAAGGAGAAGAATTGGAAGACTTGGATCAAGGGTCAAACTCTCTTCCTTATGTTCTTGAGGAAAAGGAGGCAAAGACGGGTTCTCGCGAGCTGATCGTTGTGCTCGGTAGGAGAAATGATGAATCTTGTGCATCCATGGCTCAGTTCGTGGTGCACGTGCACAATCTAGGCTGTCAAAGCCGTTTAGTGTCGAGCATTGATGTGGAGACCGGGTCCTGTGCCAGATTCAGGCAACAAGAACTTTGGTACGGAATTACTATGCACTCATTCCTTACCACATTTCCCTGTGCTATATGGTTCATACATACTATGTAGTATTCGTAGTATGCATCGAAGACGATTGCGATCAAGAAAAATGGAGTAACGAACGACCAGAGAAGTGGCCTATGGTCCAATTTCTCGTAACTATCTAATTACCACGGTACGGTAATATGCAGCTTACTATTCATCTCTCCTTCTCAATGGCTTCTCACGAGAGGGGTCAAGAACCCCCTTGCCTCCCTTTTTCTTAGTAAGTCCTCGGCTTGGGCCGCCGACGAGCCGACACGCTCAAACATGGGCTGTCAGGGTTCGACAATGCACGCCAAAAGGACGTCCCAGCACACCTTGTCGGTGAGCTGGCATTAGCTGGGCAAGCTTTGGGGTCTTCTATCAATGCCGCGGGTATTTCTTCTGTCGGCGGAGAAGGATTCGCCTCCAGAGAGCTGTGCTTGCCACGGTGCGGAGTACAAAACACCTCGGGTAATTATCACTAGGTCGCAAACTATAATCACAGTGTTATTTATCGTGTATATCTAGGTTGGCTATAATCATCAGTGCACAAAAACGACACTGCAACGTTGAGCGGACCCGGACTTTTGACAAAAAAGAACCCCACGCAAACAAGCATCCACACAGACCAGCAATGTTTTAAGGAAGGAAAGTGGCAAAAAAAAAAAATCATAATTCGTGTGTGAGTGATGAGAAGAATGACCAACATGCAAGCGACCAAAGAAGAACTGGCGGCCAGCTTCGCAGCAGGTGTCTTTCTCCACCTCGCGGTCTTCCGCTCGGGCGAGTGGGACGCACACAGCTTCACCCTACTCGAGGTCGGCGCAGCCCTCCAGCTGGTCCTCAGCTTCTTCGCCCACGAGCTTTTCTCCGAGCCCGCGGTCGATGCCCTGCAGCATGGCCTGTACTGGGCTGGCGCCGCCCTTGCAGGTCTGTATGCAAGCATCCTGGTGTACAGGGCCTTCTTCCATCGGCTGGGCAGGTTCCCTGGTCCTTTTACCGCTCGCCTATCGACCTTTTACATGACCTGGACCAGCTTCCGGCGCGGCCAGGTGTACCAGGACGTGCGCCGGCTCCACACAAAGTACGGCGACTTTGTCCGGGTTGGGCCGACAGAGCTGTCCATCGCCGACCCGGCTGCGTTCGCCGTGGTCCACTCGGCTACCTCGCAGTGCGAGAGAGGGCCGTGGTATAACGTTCTGAACCCCACCATTTCGCTGCAGATGGTGCGTGACAGGAGAGAGCATGCTCAGCGCAGGAAGGCCTGGGATCGAGCTTTCAGTAACAAGGGTGAGTAAAGACTGCTGCTACTGCTGCTACTGCTCTAGAGAGAAAGACACATCTAGAGAGAGAGAGAGAGAGAGAGAGAGAGAGAGAGAGAGAGAGAGAGAGAGAGAGAGACAAAGACCTGGTTCGGTTCCTTACACATCAAACCTCACTGACACATTCTGAGGGTCCCCCTTCCCTCTGTTTTATTACAGCATTACGAGACTATGAAGCAAGAGTTGCTGGCTACACTGACGAGCTGCTTGGGGTCTTTGACCGGGAAAAGGGAAAGAGACTCAATGCCTCGACGTGGTTCAAGTGCGTCTTGCCAACAACCTTGACAGGAAAAGCTCATTCATATATGTGCTGACTTGACAAAAATTATAGTTATTACTCGTTCGATATCATGGGCGATCTGGCCTTCGGAAGGAGTTTTGACCTGATGAAGACGGGCGTTGACCAGTACTTTTACAAGACCACGCATACGAATATGTTCCTGATCGGGCTGTTCAGTGTGAGCCTGCTGCATCCTTTTTTTTCATCTCCATCATTTCGAGAAATGCCGAGCTGACACACTATTCTCTCGACAACAGCGCATGACCTGGCTGTTTCCCATTTTCAAGGCAACTCTTGGTCGTTGGGAGTATCAAAAATTTCAGCGATTTGTCAAGGGAGTCGTCGCGCGACGTAGGGAGGCAAGTTTATTGTTGTCCTGGGCCAATCCCCGACCTCCCTTTCCCTTGGGAGGCTTCTTATTTGATAATTTGCACAGTCATGCTGACAAGAGGGGGTGTTGATTCCTACTTGTCAGAATGAGCCAGCAGTCCCTGACGTCTTCCACTGGATCCTGAAAGAATTCAACCAGAAACCCAAGCCGACATGGCAGGAGTTGCAGAATCTCTATGGTGATTGTGCCCTCATCGTAGTTGCAGGGAGGCAAGTAAACTTCGTCAAACGTACCCCTTACATACATTACTTACGACTCTATTAACCCCCCCTCCCCTCTTTATTTTCTTCTCTTTCTACCTACGGAGAACCCCACCAACGCTGACTTGACGGCTCACACTAACCTTTTTTGTTGTCTTTTCTGCAGTGACACAACGGCAGCAACCCTCACCGGCCTGTTTTACAACCTAGCAACCCACCCTGACGTCTACAAGAAACTCCAGGCGGAGGTGGACGCCTTCTTCACCGCCAAGGATGGTACGAGTAATACCCAGGGTGACTTCGACTCCAGCTCCCTGGGCAAGCTCGAGTACCTGCAGGCGTGCATCGACGAGTCCCTCCGCCTGTTCCCGCCCGTGCCGTCGGGGCTGCAGAGGCAGACGCCGCCGCAGGGAGTCCAGGTCGGGGAGACGTTTATCCCCGGGAACACGATCGTCATGACGCCTGCTTATACTATCTATCGAGGTCAGTTACTAAAAATTTCCCCCTTTACTCGCTTTTCCTTGAAGCAAGAACAAAGACTAATGAGAGCGTTTCTTTACAGACCCGAGGACGTTTACACATGGTGATGAGTTCATCCCTGAGCGGTGGACTACGAAGCCCGAGCTGGTCAAGGATGCCACTGCCTACGCCCCATTCTCTGTCGGTACGTCTAGTCTTGTCGTGTCGAAAGCCGTGGCAATGTCGTGTCTTTTTTCTTCTTCTTCTTCTTCTTCTCTGTCTCTCTCCACTTCTTCTCCAATAAGCAGTAATTGGAAGGAGTAGAACTTAAGAACTAATGAATATTCAAATTCCTCCACGGCCAGGACGATTCTCGTGCGTGGGCAAGCAGCTGGCCCTGATGGAGGTGCGCAGGGTCACGACCCTCATCGCCCGTCGCTACGATGTGGCTTTTGCACCGGGCCAGACCAAGGAGGACTTTTTGGCTGGGTTGAGGGATAACTTCACCTTGGCTACTCCCAAGTTGGACCTGGTGTTTTCACAGAGGATCTGAGAATGGTATCGCTGTGGTTTCCCGTGTGAGAGGAAAAGTGGCTTATGAATACATGTAAGGGTCTGATGGTGGAAAGGGAGGGTAAAGGGGACAAAAATATGGTCGGCAGCCATCTGGGAGTATTATGTGAGTGTATTTTTTCTTCATACGAGTGTGCCCATTTCTGATGCTTTCTGGAGATTGTTCAATGCTTTTTGAGGGGAATAGGTGTCGTGTCTGGTAGTCTGATCAACATAATTCCGGCCAAAAAAAAAATAGTGCAAGAAGACCATATTCATTGTGATCGTGCAAGGTGATCATTACACCCTTCCTTCCAGCCAGAGAAAACAGTTTATCGTCCTTCACTTCCTCCTCAGACATTAATCTCGCCACTCATGACCATCCTCGCAGTCCCACCCAGCCTTACCTCCCTGATCTCTTTTGTCCCACCCCTCCCAGCAACATAAGCCGCATCGACCTCCACCACGATATCGCTCTTCCTCCCAATCTCAACCCCCTGCGTGACCAGATACTTCATCTTCTCCGCATCGCCCTGCAGGGTCAAGTAACAAGCCAGAGACGAAGCCGCGCTCCCCGTGGCAGGATCCTCAAACGCCAACTCCACCATGCGCGTCCTCACCGCCTCAGTCCTCACATCACCTTGGCCGCCGCTCTTTGTTGGGTCGACATAGTAATAGTACCGCGACACAAAGCCATGGCCCCAGGACCCGGCGTCCAGCAGGCTGATATAGTTGCCCAGGTCCAGATGGCCCGCGGCGGTGACGCTGGCGAGCTGCTCGAGGCTGGACAGGCGGACGAGCAGGAAGGTCATGCCGCGCACGATGCTGAAGATGGGGGCGTCGAGCTCGGCGGTGCGCACCTCGGGGTCAGGGTGCAGGGCAGGGTGGATGTGGGCCGTGACGCCGGCGTCGCCCAGCTCGTAGAGGGAGCGGAGGGTGCGCGAGTGCAGGTGCACGTCGTGCGGGATGCGAGCCGTCACGCCCTCTGCTGTGGGCGAGGAGGAGGAGGAGGAGGAGGAGGAGGAGGAGGAACGAGAGATGGCAATGGGTCCTGCGCGTGGCAGGAGAGTAGTAACAAAGTCCCAGCCCAGGTGGTGCAGGACGAAATAGGCGGTGCCGATGGTCGGGTGGCCGGCAAAGGGGAGCTCTGTCTCGGTGGTGAAGATGCCCATCTCGCGCTCGGGCGAAGAGCGGTCGGGCGAGGCGAGGGTCTCGCCTGGGCGGAGGAAGAGGAATACCGTCTCGGAGAGGTTGAACTCCTTAGCGATGAGCTGCTTAGTGTTGTTGTTGGGACTGTCTTCTGAGCTCGCCTCCAGCGAGGCTCGCTCTTTGTCCTCGACTATGACGATGGCGAGCGGGTTCCCTCGGAAGGGAGTGTCTGTGAAGACGTCGACGGTCACGAAGTGCATGATAAGGAATGGATGGGGTTGAGGCTGGGTCTTCAAGGACGGTCACGCTGCTTGCTACCTATATGTGCCAAGTATTGAGAGGGGAGAAGAAAGGGGATTATTAATGTTGCACCAAGCAGTAACATTGAAAAAGGAAAGAAGAAAAAAAATCCGTCCCAAGTTGGTTTATCATTTTTGGTTGAGGGTGTAGAGGTCTTGGGTTTTATTTTAATTGATAAGTGACTCACGGAGCTTTCGTCCGGGAAGTCCTTAGTTACATGAGATAGCCCCCCCCCCCCCACCTGCACAATCCCGTCACAGTGTCCAGGGATGCCAACTTTAGTACTGGGGGGTTACAGGTTTCTTGTATGACCAGACCAATGTGTCATTGTTTGACTGGACAAGAATTTGGAGAAAACTGTTGATCATGTCACTGTCAGCATGTTCAGCACACGGAGTAGCTCATTGGTAGTTCACGATCAATTATGTACTGTGAATGGTCCTTGGTTGTCCATCCACTCAACGACCACCTTGCTCTGAGCAAGTTGTCGACTATGGAAGTTGAAGCAGCTGATTTTCGCATGGCTGGGTTGTCAATCCAGAAATCTTGAGAGCAATACAAGAAATTGTGCGAAGAGTTGTGATATCTTGTGTGGCTTAATTGGCTTTCTATTGCCCCAAGACAATTATTAGCCATGATAAAAAGAAAAGAAGACACAAATCACAGTCAGAATTAGTAATAATGGCCACTGCCTTGCCTAGGGTACTAGTAGGACAAGTAAAGAAATAACTACCCAGAAAATTGTGTTATACTGATCATTGGTAGTGCTGTCTTTACTATATTCTGCCTGTAGTATCACGTTGTACGGGAATCCCTCCACGGTAGTATAAATGCAGTTGGGAAGTTGACAGTGCATCTTTGCACACACCCAAGAGCAAACCAAGTGCTCACTGACTTGTTGTGCATTGAATCCGAAGAAAATGATGGTAAACATCTTCTGTTTGCACATCGCATCTACGCCCATGTTAGTCCTAGAGATTTGCTGCACCAAATAAGCTTGTTCACCAACAAAAGCCCAAAGCAATTCCTTCCACTTACAAGAATGAACGATACATATCACTCTTGGGCAGCATACTATAATGATGCTGTGCGTGGTATGAGAGTGAGTGTGAGAGAGAGAGCAGGGCTTGGACGACTTTCAAAGGAACAAAAGTGCTAAGGCCTCAACGGATTAGAAATTAATTAGATGGCTGTATATACTCCCAAATGCTTTGATCATTTCAATGATTCTCTGAATGTCATTTACTGTCAAGAAGGGGAGGAAACCATTATTCTTCCAAAGATGAGGGGGCCATGTCCAGAAGGAGAGAGAAAGAAAAAAAAAGTATCAAAACGTACAATACCGGGTATTCGCTAATGGTCACCCACTTAACTACTAATCCGGCCCTTAGTGGCTTATTTAGGGGAGAGCAGACGGGATCCCAAGTTCTCCACTAGGTATGGTCGTACGTGCTAGATATTGTCGTCTTGGGATTTATAAGGCATGTTCATAATGGGCGTGCAAAACTTGCATGACTCGGGGCTCGGGGGAGGTCAGATGGAAGTGGACCTTATCGACCTCAACCAGATCTGATTTACATGCCGTAGACTCAAATCTCATGAAGCGCCCCGGTACGAGGTTGTCCAGTCGCTAAACCCGTCTCCCTCGTATAAAATACATGGCGAATCATGCCGACATCGGCAGATCGGGAATCGTGTCGTGACATTCCAGCGGCAGGAGGAGGAGGCCACAGCTGAACACTTTGACAAATCTGAGATGGGATGTATACATAGTTGTAACGAGTCAGATCCTAGAAAGTAAACAAAGCCATATGGAGTCAGCAAAGGAGGCCAGGTGGACAGGAGAAGACGACAGGGCCGGTTGGGCCGTGTCAAGATGGCCTCGAATGTCGCCCGCTCCCTTCAGGACAGAGCGAGGCTGGTCGACGGGCAACTGTGGGCACAACACACCCCCGGCCGAGTTCATCGAGGCAGCTTGCCGGTTCGGAGGGGTCAACCGAGGATGGAAGGGGGGGGGGGGGCTAGGGCTTTGGGAGCAGTTCGTCCAGGGTCCGGGGACTGCGGAGCACGAGCCGTCGGTGTGGAGGTGGATCGCAGGCCTGCACTGCGTTGTCTCTACCTACTTAGTTGTCACAGGCAGTAGTGGTTGAAACATGTTGTTGTATTGTTGTTGCCTTTGACATGAGCCACCAGGTCGTGAAAGAGACAGTATAGGCATTGATGCACAACGTTCCAGACCTTGACAAGATACCTCGTCATGCTGGGACCTGGATGGAAGTCAGTTGGCCCTCCCCCCCCCCCTGAACTCTCTTTTGTCCAGAGAGGGGCTGATGAAGTGTTTGCCAATGGGAAGGGCTACCGGGTGGCTTGTGTGTGCCTGACTTGAAAACCCAAGGGGGCTATTTTAAGGGGGGACCGAGAGGACCCTGAATCGCCACACCCGAAGGAGCCCTACCTTCAGGTCATTTGACTGCACTAGCGTGGCTGTCATGTACGTGCTACAGTTAGTATTATGCACCGTAAGGAGGCAGTCAGATTGATTCAGGGTCCTCGAAAGGATGAGGTACGTAATCAATGGGCCAAGGAAATTGTGTTGATATCGTGGCCAGGTGGTTATATTAAAATGGCAAGGGAGCTGGGCTATACCATATGGAGGACTTCTGTGTCGACGATGACTTTTGGAACAGTTGGTTGAGGCGCGTACCAGCTTCCGGAAGAGGAAGATTACAAAAGAAGCAGCACAAGAAACAGCATGTGGATTTTTTTTTTTAATAACCCCCAAGCCTTCCCCTGTCCACACCTTTTGGGGGTTATAAAAGCGGGGAGTGTTTTGCTGTTAGTGCTAGTGCTGCTGCTGCTGCTGCTGCTGCTACTGAGTAACCAGCCCTTGAGTGCAATGCGGCTAGTGACGTCTGATGATTCCCAGCTGGTTTGGAATGGGGCTTTCTGCTAAAGATTTCAACTGCATCAGCAGCCATTGCATAGGATCTTGATGTTTGTGTCTAAGTAGGGTACAAGGCTACTAATGTTAAAGGCGACTATGCCCCAATGCACAAGCTTGATCAGTTAGACAGATTCCTTGACCTTTTGTTTTCAGGTATATAACTTCAAAACTGCTCAATGGTTCTCACTATATGGCAGTCCAGGCCAGTAGCTCTTGTCTGCTAAAAGTATGGTTTGACAGTTTCTCATATGAAATATCACTGTCCAATGTCATCAACATCATCATATTTTTATGTGCCTAGTGGTAGAGTCTATTGTTGTAGGTTAGCGTTGATGAATCTGAAGCCAGCTGCACTGATGGATGTTGAGTTTGAGAACTGCAGTGAGCTACAGCTCAGCAGCATACAGCATCACATCTCTCTCGCTCACCAAGGTCAACGAGAATACAGAGCTTGAACACCAGGAATGCTGTTTGTTATGTGGGGATGGTTCATGTGTCAACTAATTTTGTCTTCTTTAGCTGAATGAGAACATGAAATATGTCAAGAAATCTGTGACAGCTGCTGGAAGACGAAGATGGTACATGGTCATAAGAAGCTGCCAAAACAAAAAGAAAGGGTGGATCCGCCATTATTACTTTTTTCTTTAGAAAAACAAGAAGAAGAAAAAACCCTCCACAACCCGGCCTTCCCCCATCTCCACACAACCTTTGGGGCGAAAAATGCTCTGCTGTTAGTGCCTCTGCTGAGTAACCAACCCCCATAGTGGCTGGAGTGCATCTCGGGCCAGTGACGTTTGAGAGTTTCCAGCGGGTTTAGCGTGGGGCTTGCGGGCTGGAGCCTCCACTGGGCCAGCGAGGACGGGCCAGTCAGACAGGTGGACAGGCCGCCGTAAAACATCGTGAGTCCAGGCGTGACCAACTAAAGAACAGGACTTGTACCTGAACCTGAACCGCCAACTCGCTCTTGCCGCAGCCCGTGTCGGGCTCACGCTCATCCTTTCCCACAACCCTCCTTCTTCATCACAAAACTCGATCACCACCAACACCTGCTCCTCCTCCTCCTTCTCTCCTCCTTCTCGAGCAGAAACCTGGCTCCCGACAAAAGGACGCACAGAGAAAAATGGACGACAGCTCGCCATCAGCAGACGCCACCAGCCTTTCAGAGGGCCATTCCGGCCTCGGGTCAGGAACTTCAGATCTGGCTCTGAACCTTGGCGCCGGACTCGGAGACCTCGACATCCCGCTCGGCTTTGCTGACCAGGCCTGCAAAGAATGTCGACGTCGCAAGTCCAAATGCAACAAGGCAATACCAACATGTAACCTCTGTGTCAAGTACAGGAGACACTGTCTCTATGAGAAACACTCACGTACCCCGTTGACCAGAAAGTGGGTCTTTGATTCCTGCATCTCGCTCTCTACTTAAGGACCTCCTCCACCATCATCACCACCACCACCACCACCACTTCCGCCCCCTCCCCTTCCTATCTCTTCACACTTAACGTCTACTGTGTTGTCGTTCCAGCACTAACCAATGCACACAGACACCTGACCGAGGTAGAGGAGAGGCTGGAGAGGGCCGAGGCACTGGTCCGCCAGATGCGCGCCCTCCTGCCGCCTCATCTCCTACCACAGAAGGGCGGTGCATCTGCATCGAGCGCTTCTCCCTCGCAGAGGCCAAACACGACATCAAGCGAGTCATCCTTCGACTTTAGTAAGCTTGACCAGCCAGGCTCGGCATCAGGCTCCTCCAGCACCATCAAGACCCCGTCTCAGGTGAAGCCCGAGCCTTCCGACGATGCGCCTCACGACAATGAGCCAGCTATGGGCAGCCGAGGCTTGACACCGGCCCACGCCGGCGCCGCCGATCTCAAACCTCCTGCTGAGTATCAACCCCAGCGTGCTGAGAACGGACGGCTGGCCCCATTCCGTGTGCCTCAGAGGGGCATGTCTACCATCCTGGAGACGCCCCCTGCCACCGATGACTTTGAATGGGATGAGCAGGACGACATGGCGAGCCTGGCCGCCGCACTGTCGCCTAACCCGAACGACCCAGACGACACAGCTCTGGATGGCATGGCCTCGCTCTCGGTTGGCGAGAAGGAGGGCGGCTATCTTGGCGTGGCCTCGGGTGCGGCCTTCATCCGGCTGCTGGAGCCCAACATGAAGAGGCGGACCTCCCAGACGAGGTCGAGGCCGTCTATGAGCTCCTACCCGTCCATGATCCAGCAGCCCAACCCCAACCGACAGATCGCCGACATCATGATCGACGCCTACTTCAAGCTCTTCCACCTCAGCTATCCCATCCTCCACGAGCCGACGTTCAGGGCCCAGTTCTCTGAGGTCATCCCCCGCCCCCATGGCGACTCGTGGCTTGTTCTCGCCTACGTCGTGGCTGCTATCGGTGTCTGGAGCTCTGCCAACTCCCCAGAAAACCTCGACCTCCAGCTCTTCGCACAGGCCCGGTCCATCCTGACCTTCAACTTCCTGGAGCTCGGCAACCTGACCCTGGTCCAGGCGCTGACCCTCACGTCCAACTATCAGCAGAAACGGGACAGGCCGAACTCGGCATACAACTACCTGGGTCTTGCAGTGAGGATGGCCATGGGGCTGGGGCTGCACAAGGAATTCCAGGGCTGGAACATCTCACCCCTCAACATGGAGATCCGGCGCAGGGTTTGGTGGTCGCTCTGCGTCTTCGACTGTGGTGCCACCATCACCTTCAGCAGACCGCTTACCTGGCCCTTTGACGGCGTCGAGGTGTCTCTGCCGAGAAACGTTCACGATCGGGTCGGTATCTCCACTCCGCCTTGTCAAGCGACTCACACTTGATCCGACGACAGCACGCACTGACCCATTATTTTATAGGAACTCACACCAAATTCGCTCAGCTATCCTGCCGAGACCTCTGACATTACACCCTACACCGCTGTTCGGATACAGGCATCCTTCCACCTCGCCACAAATTACATCTATACCAGAGTGATCGGCAAGCCCCTGCCAGGCGCCGAAGAGCTTGTGGAGCTCGACAAGGAGCGCATCGAGCCCTGGCTGAAGCAAATCCCGCCCTGTTTCGCCGAGTCAGCCACTGTCCCGCCGCAGTACACATTTGCCCATGTGGGCCTGAGCTGGCGGTACCGGAATTTCCGCATCATCATGTACCGCCCCTTTGTGATCCGCAAGGCTTTCCGGGCCCGCGACGGTCGTCCGGATGATGACTCGCCTGCCAGCCTGCATGCCTACAACAGCTGTCTGGCCGATGCCAAGTACACCATTACCTCTATCAGCACTTATTGGTCCTCCAACGAAAATACGCGAATGGGCGCCTGGTATGCTTTGTAAGTCATGCAGAGCCCTCATCATTCTTTCTTCCTCCCCTTGCAACGACCCCCATCAATCAGAACCAGTCCATCTAATCTGAGGCATCCACACCTAGGTATTTCATCTTCCAAGCTGCGCTGATTCCCTGTATCTGTCTTCGAAACCTGCCTCTGTCGGACCAGGCTGCCGACTGGCGCCGTCAGATCACCACCGCCTTGCAGACAGTCGCCTCTCTCGCACCTGTCAACGTCAGCGCGGCACGGTGCTACGGCGTCATTGCTGAGCTGTGTGGACGCTATCTGGATCATGTCCCACCGCCGTTCCCGCAGGCCTCACCAAGCATGAACCCGGCGGATAACATTCCGTCGATATCGAGTCACATGATGAACAGCCCCCATCATGGCAACGGAGGCCCACATGCCCACATGCAGCACCAGCAGCAGCAGCAGCAGCAGCATGAATCATCACACCACCAGGGCCCATACCACCAGCAGCACATGGACGAGATGATGTTGGCCGTTGACGAAAGCCCACAGACGCAGATGGAAAGTGTGTATCCCATGATGTGGCCTAATGTGCCCCCCTTCGAAGCGGCAGACCAGTTTATGGACGATGCGTGGATGGACTTTCTGGGAGCTGAAGGTGCTGCTGAAGGTGCTCACCCGGATGCTCAAAGAGCTTGGTACGGCCAGTGAGCAGCGCCATTCATCTTCGACACTAGGGAAGGCGCATCGTCACCTCTTTTGTCCGAGCTCAACGCCCTCACTCAATGAGGTCGACATCACTCGTGCAATGTTGTTTTCGAATACATGAATGACCGTACGCGGGGGGAAAAGGCCAGTGGTCAGGCACCATTGGGCATCTCAGTAACACATTCAGTCGATCAAAAGCTCGAGAAATTTCGATCGAGGTTTGGCAGTCGCTTGATGCTATTGCTTCAACGCCAAGCCATCACTTGATGCTCCTGCGCGCCCCTCTTTCGAGTTTTGGTGTATGTCTCTGCAGTCAACCCCAGCCCAGGGGTAAGCACGATTGTCACTATGTCTGGGGAACATTGTTTGAAACACATCAATTTGTGGATACTTCCCATTGCAGGGCAATAGGATGCATCCCGTCCTGTCGTTTTTATGAGCGATCTCTTTACTGAGCTCAACTAAGTTGTACTGTCTTACCTATTCGGTAGTTGGAGCCATTGTTCCGGGCCGAAAGTGAGTGAGCGACCGTTCACCGCAGGCGGGGAGTAGCAGTGGTCTCATTTATGGGCAGTCAACAGTTCAACCTAAGGACCTGTCAGCCACAATAATTTTTCTTCTTCCTTTGGTTGCCTTCTTTCTTTATTTCCCGTTCATTCTTCTGTTCGGCTGCGAGAGATCTCTGAGGGACTCGATGTAGATACCGATTCTACAGGCGCATGGGGAGTTTCTGGGCATAAAGGGAGGAGGAGATTGTGACTTGGGAGGTTTTCGAGGCTACTTTTGATATCGCGGTCTGATTACAATTTATCTTGGAAGACCAAAACCAGCTGAAGGCAGATAAATATCTGCAAGAGGGGCGCAAGAGGAGATGTGGATGTGGGCATCCATCTGGTCACTCCTACCCAAAGGGATGCTGACCGTCGTCTGGGCTTATATTATGCAAGGTCGCATATGATGATGTATTCACCTAATCGGAAATATCGTCTTCTAAACCCCGCCTATCTCTTGTCTTTTGTTATAAGGCGATGATGTTCAAAACGGACTTAGATTGGTAAGTACGCAATCTCCGTCACAGACAAGGAGGAATATATTATTTACCAGCTCTGCTTCTTTGAGTTGAAGCCTTCTTACTATCAGCCTCTCCACGAGATACCAAACACACACATACAAACACACATACAAACACACATACAAACACACACACACATCGACTGATCAAGCGTTCACCCGCTCACTCAAGCACCCTTTCCACAATTTCCATCTCATCAACACTGTTACCCCCCCAAAAAAAACCAAAAAACCACCATGACCCAAGAAGAGTCGACCCGCATGCAGACGGCCAGATCCTACCTTGCCCACTTCGCCACCCTAGACCTAGTCCTCCTCGACTCCCTCATCACCCCGGACTACGAGCACATCATGGCCCCGGCGTCCCTCCACCTCCCGGCCCACAACCGCGCCAGCCTCCTCGCGTTCATCGGCGACCTGCGCAAGGTCCTGGCCGGGATCCCCATCACGCCCACGCAAGTCTGGGAGAGCGAGGGCTCGAACAGTGTGGTGGTGTGGGCTACGTCTTCTGCGCTGTTTCGGGAGGAGGTTGTCAGGGGGGTCCTCCGGGAGGAGGACGGTGGTGGTAAGGAGAGGGGGGAAGTGAAGGAGGAAGACATGTGGACGTATGAGGGGGAGTATGTGTTTATTTTGGAGATGGAGGAGGGTGGGGGTAGGGTTAGGCGGTGTGTGGAGTTTTTGGATAGTAAGAAGACGGCGGATGAGGCTTTTGTCTTGATGGGGCGGGGGAGGGAGTGGGTGGATCGGGTGGAGGGGGGCGGTGGGAAGACGGGGGGAGAATGATGGAGGGTGGGCTTGTGGAGGTGGGAGGTGAGGTGGTTTGGGTGCTCATACCTCTTCTTCTTCTTCTTTTCCTTTTCCGGGCAGAAGAAAGAAGAGAAAAAGAGAAGAAGAAAGTCTCATTTCCGTCAGACGTACTATGTGACCACCACGTTTCTATCGCAGTCTAGCCACCAAGAGGACTCGTGCAGCAAGACAAAAAAACAAATCATATCCCTCGGTGATAAATGGCAAGGCTCCTCTCCCCCCCGCCGGAGCCTCGTCGTCGTCGTCATCTTTCATCATCCCCTTCTCCTCCCTCCCCCTCCCCCTCCCCATCCCTCCTCCGACAGTGTCCCGCCACAAACACAGCCGTAATCGTAAGTCCATCCTCGCTCGGGTCCTCTACCTCAGTCGACAAGGTAACCTCGGCCTCGCCCTGCACCCAGATCCCCGTCGCCCACGTCCCCTTCTCCTCCTGGCCCATCCCCGCAGACCAGGAATGGCCCCGGCCCCCGACAGAGAACGTGACGCGTGCCCGAGGGCGGATCCAGACAGGACACAGGAACGTGTCCGTCGGGTACGCCAGCAGCTCCTCGCCCTTGGCGAACGGGGTCCTCAGCACCCCGAGCGACACAGCCGACCCGTCCGCCGCGTCGAACCGGTCCAGCATTTTTCCTTTTCTTCCTCCTCCTGCCTCCTCCTCCTCCTCCTCCTGCTCCTGCTCCTCCGCCTGCAACACCCGCCAGAGGTCCGCAAATACGTGCCGGTAGCTGTCATACACACCCTCCCGGAACGGCGACTCGGCGCTGTGCGGGGGCGGCGGGTCCACCCAGACCTGCACGACGGGCGCGCCCAGGAGCGGCAGCTTGGTGCGGCCGAGCCAGCGGGCGTGGTCCCACCGTGCCTCATCGTCGTCGTCGTTGTCAGAGGTGATCTCCCCGGAGACGGCCTCGCAGAGGGAGCGGAAGCGCTCCTGCACGGTGGCGGGGTCCGCGAGCTCTTCGCGGGACAGCGATGGGTCGAGGAGCCAGACGCGGCGGAGGGTGGTTGTCATCTGGCGGAGGGGCTGGCTTGTGGAGAAGTCGATGGTTCGCAGGCCTGGAGGCTGCTTTGGGGGTTGGGGATCCTTGTGCTGCTGCTGCTGCTGCTGCTGCTCGGCGTCAGACATGGTGCATGTGTATATATGTGTATATGTATGTATATCTGAGTTGGGGGTGGGGTGAGGAGCGGAGGCGTAGACGGATCGGTGTATCCGTCGTGCATGCGGGGAGGTCGATCTCACACATATGCAATTCCTCCCCCGCTGCATAGTCATCTACTATGTATGGACTCGCTTCGGCATTGGGGACCGAGACATTCTCCTCTTTTCCATTCACTTTCTCATGATTGGGTGGGCTCTCCCGCAGTCAGCAGCCTATTAAGAGCCAAGCGACAAGGAGAGGGAAAACACGGATAACCTTTTTATCAAACCCTGTATAAATCCGGGTCGGCAAAGTGTGATAATTCGACTCGGCCTGTTGTTCAGATACCACCAACGTGGCCATGCCATTCATTTCATGTCCGTCAAAACTCGACAAGGACGCGCTTCACCCTGACGTGTCGTAATCGTCGTCGTTGTCATTATCATCAGTCGTCATCAGACCAAAACTGAACGACCCATTGTCCAAATGTCCTCGCTTTTGAAGTAACTCAAAATGTCATGGGGCCCAGGCCTCTCTCGCACAGAGCACCCTGCACTGAACTCTTGATGCCGGCCAGAGCTTCTCTCCAGCGCTGTCTCCCCCGACTAGGTGCAGCAGCTCCTTCTTCGTCATCCTCCTCTTCGATAATCCAATCGAGCCACCTGACCAGCTTCCTCGCCTTCTCCATGTCTCTCTCCTCGGTGACAACACGCGCGAGATATGTCTCGAGCACTTGCACGTCAGCATGGTGCGGACCCTCGTCCTTCGTCTCGCGGTGCCATGCGCTCAGCATGTCCTTCACCTCCTGGACCGACGACAGCGATGTTGCTGCAAATGGAACCTTTGCCGGTTGTTTCGGGAAGTTGATCTTGGTCTGTCCACCGCTCGTCAGTTCCCTGGCACGACCAGCAGCACTGCGCCGTGCTGGACCTGGCAGACTCAGGCCGAGTCCGGCCTGTTGAGCCAGCTTCTGCCTGCGGTGATCTGCCACAATATCTCTTCGAACCTCCTCGGGCAGCTCGGCCAGGAAGGCCGGGTCAAGCTCTTCGATGATCTCGTCGACGACAGTCTCCATTGCTGCTCTCCTGTTATTATTCATGGTGACAAAGTTGGTCTGTACCCGCCCGGCAGTGGCATCATGCTGTCTCTCGCGAGTCCGGCTCAGCATGCCCCGTATCCCACCTCGGCCCCGTTGCTGGGCAGGGCTCTTCCTGATCTGCTGACGGGCACCCGTCCCGTCTGCCTGGGGGGTCTGTGGCTGCGCTGGGTTAGGCTGCCCACGTCTTTCACCATACGACGCCAACACCTCCATCTGCACGTCTTTTGGGAGGGCGCTGAACACCTCAGGATCGATATCAGACGGGATCTCATCATCCATGCCTGCAGGGGACTGGTCCCTGGACAGGCCAGCCCCAGACCCACGTGGCTTTGATTGGGCCATCAGCCGGCTGCGAATGTCCTGGGGCAGGTCCGCTATGACAGCAGCATCCGGATTGGTCGGCATAATGAACTGTGTCCCCATCATATTCAATGGCGTGCTGGCTTTCTCATCCGCCTCGTTAGCTCTCGCGAGGGCCAGAGCCGGGTGTACTGCAGGGTGTTTTGGTTTCTGAGGCGTCACAGGATCCTCCGCGATGGGGTCATCAGAAGGATCTTTCCGCCGTGCCTGGTGATGATTGATCGTTTTCGACTGCTCAGGGCTACCAAATTCTGATATCTCGTCAATACCCTTAGTCGGACAAGCTTCTGCTTTCTTTGTTGCGGGATTGACTGAAGCAGCGACGAAGGCGCCGAATGTCAGCCTCTTCTGGCTCCCATCAGGCGCCGCAGACGCCTTGATCGGTTCCAGTTTCTGAAGCTGCACACCCAAGCCTCGCAAGTCGCCCGGGCTGAATCTAAAGGACCGTAGGATGGAGACAGCCTCCTTGCCAATAGTCACCGCGTTATGTGTGGCCACTCCAAAGACGGCGCTCTTGTTGAACGTGTCACATTTCCCATGGCCTAGATGCTTCGGAGGGTCCAAGGGTGCGTCGAGAGACCTGCGCATGATCTTCATGGTGAGATGCGTGCCTTTGACGCCCTCGTTCAGGAGCCGTCTTTCAAGCTCCTTGCACAAGTTCATGACAAACTCTTCGGCCTCTGGCTGGTTGATGAAGCGGATCCCCCAGTTAATCTCTGCAGAGACGGATTTTCGTACCGGCTGGTCCCCTACTTCGGCGCGATCGATGCCTCTGGAGTACTCCCAGAGCTTTTCGCCCGTCTTCGGCCCCAGGAGAGAGACGAGGCGTTCTTTGGAAGCTTCGCGGATGTCTTTGACAAGTCTGATGCCGACTTCTTCTAGCTTCCCACCGATGCTGTAGGCGACGCCAGGCAGGTCTTCCACCTTCAGCCCGCCTAGGAAGTCCAGGACCTCCTCTTGCATGATGTGGTATTGTCCAGCTGGTTTCGCCCGGCGGAGAGCAACTTTGGCCAGCAGAATATTGCCTCCGATACCAACGGATACGTTGCAGCCCGTCTTGTCCTTGATCCTTGCCCGCAAGTCTGTAGCAATATTGTTGGCAATCTCCTGCTCTCTCCAGATGCTCCCTTCAGAAACACCATGCCCGTCTGATCCTGAAGCGCTCAGCACGAGCGAAGTAATGTCGATCAGTGCCTCGTCAATACTGACGCTCTGCACGATGCCACCGACCTCTAGTATCGCCTCATAGAAAAGTCTGCTGGCTTCCTCGTACGCCGGAAAGTCGTACGGTAGAACCTTGAGATCCGCACATAATTCCAGTGCTCTCTTCATCCACATGCCATTCTTGACACCAAATTTCCGCGCTGGGTAATTGCACGAGGCAATTTCCGAGCCGGTACCAGTGCTATGCGCCACCACAGCGGGTTTGTCGATGTACTCGGGAGCATTTTTCAAGGAGACGGCACAGAAGAAGCTGTCAAAGTCGACATGCATGATGTACCGTCGTGCTCCGGGGCGGCGTTTGATAGCCTTGCGCGACCCTGCACTCTTCTCGTTGGCAAGTCTCTGCATCCTCGACTTCAGCTCCGCCTTCCATGTCGAGAGGTGGTGCAGACGGCTTTGGTCATAGTATTGCTGAAGGAAGCCGGGGTTTGCAGTGGACGACTTTCTCAATCTTGGATCGGATAGCAGCCAGGCATTATGCTCCTCAGACGTCATGGGCTTCTCGTGGGTGTTTCCAGGCATTCCCTTTCCCACATTGTCTGGAGGTATATCAGGATCTCTGGGTATGTCTTCCTGATCTGGGACCAGCCCGAGGTCCCCTGGATCTAGGTCATTATCAATTTGCATAGGCTCCGCTATCTGGTGGTCGTCGGCGTGGGTGTCCTGTTTTGATGATGGCACCGAGACAGGGGCCAAGTTACCCAAGTCAGAGCCCCCAAGTCCATCATGAACCTGATCATCATCATCATCGCCATCGTCGATACTTTCGGCCGGCCGCAGCTTCGATGGTGTGAACTTGGATGACGTAGGATTCTGAGACGCAGAGGACGGACTACGACTATCCAACCTTGTAGCCGAGCTCGCCGAGTTCCTAAACTGGCTGGCATAGTAACCCTTTTGGATTTGGTCGTTGTAGCCCCTCTGCGGCGTGTTGGCCTGTGAGGAGAGCTTGCCACCGTCGAAGCTGATGAGCTTCTGCCGCGGGCCCTCGTCGAGCACGCGGTAGTCGGACCACGGCAGTATACGACCCGCGGCGATCGAGTCAACCACCCAAGCCGGCTTGACGATGCGGTAGTCCTTGAACTCGACGGCCTTCTTTGGCGTCAGCGACGAAGCGATGATGTGCGTTGCCGAGGTCTTGCCGTCGAGGTACTGCAGGAACCCGGCACCATGTGCTACGAGGTCCCTGTGGAGGATGTGCAGGGGCGGCTGGGTGTATCCAGAGACGTGGGCAACGATGCCCTTGAAGATCTGAGGCTTGCCGCTGGCATCCCTGAGCTCGGCGTCGAGGTTCTGCAGCTTGATCTTCTTCCGCCTCATGTAGTCGCCAAAACCACCAAAGGAGCTCGCCTCATATTCCTCGCCTCCCTCGTCAGAGAATGTGTGGCCCTCGATGCGCTTGCGCACAGCGCTGGAGTTCTTGTCTAGTCGACTGCCCATGGCGACGACGGCTGAGGCAGCGTCCTCGTATCACGGCAGCAGCGGATCAAACGAGCCAGACTGAAAAGTCACTGATCTGACCTTCATGGTCGTGCCAAACTTGAAATTCAAAGACAGGTTAGAATAAAGTGGCATGCATACTGGAGATGAAGCCCAAGGTAATTTGCTGAGTGAAAGTCATGCTGAGTATCTATGAGGGTGGGTGTCGATGGGATGTTGAACGACGTGCGTGAACTCGGGTGACGTGAAGCGCGTTTGAACGCCTCCACTCTAGATGTCGCATTGGGTAGGAATAACCATTTTGGGGTTAGGGTCCAGATCCCCCAGCCGTTGCGTCGAGCGAGCTTATGTAATCAACTTTGCTAGCCTTGGAGCTGCGAGGGTTAAGGGATCGATGGTCTGTCACTCTTGCCTTTGCCATCCCCATTGCATCCTTTTTCCTCCTTCATTTCACCCGCCGCCATGTATGTCTCTCATCACATGTTCAGTCCAGTTCTGATGGGATTTGGAGGACCTACTCCCAGAATACTGTCCCTCTTGTTTCAATGTCTTCGGTGATACAAATGAAAAGATGCTGTTCCAGATACGAGATGGCACCTGCAACTGGTATACACACCATGATGAACGATGACGGTCGCCCACCCAGCCTCTTCTACCTGATAGACCCTCAAAAAGCAGCACTCGACAGACGGACATAGCAGTCAGTCGGCTCTCTGGCAAATCTCTGGATAGCATTGTATCCACTCAGAGCCTCGGGGCACTTCAGCAGGTTGAAGTTCCAGATCAGCAACGTAAACTGCAGCTTCAGCGACTGGATCGCCAGCTTCTTGCCAAAACAGCCCCTGGGGCCCAGTCCAAAGGCAAGCGTAGGGCCCGCCATCGAGTCAAACACTGCTGCACCCGAGTCCTCGTCCGTCTTGAGCCACCGCTCTGGCCGGAACACCCCAGTATCTCCATCCTCCCATGCGCCCGTGAGAGCCTTGGCCTCAGCCCGCCGAGCCCCAGGGCTCCGTTCCGAGTCGGAAATCTTCATATTCGGCTCGAGATACCCCGCACCGTTCGCCATGAGGAAGACGTCAGTACCCTCAGATATGCGCCGCCCCAGCACGGTCGTATCAGTCAGGGCGCGCCTCACCACGAACGCGATCGTGTTGGCATGCCGCAAAACCTCCTCGACCACCGCATCCAGAAACGGGACGTGCGTGGTCGCCAGCTCTGCATACGTCGGGGTGCGCTTCTCCCTCGCAGCACCAGGCAGCGCGGCGCGGAGCTCCCTGCGCAGCTTGTCCTGGGACTCGGGATGGTCAGCCAGTAGTTTCACACCCCACGCAACTGTCGTCGCGCTGGTATCATGCCCTGCCGTCATGAAGCCGAAGAACTCGTCTGCAATGCCGCGTCGTCGATATGCTGGTGGCCGACCCTCCTTGCCGGCGATATCGCGCTCGCGGAGCAATACGCTGTGTAGCGCGCTGCGCGGTTGCGTCTGGCCCGCTTCAATGAGCGCAATGCATTCTTCCGTCTTGCCACGGATATAGTTGTCCTTGATTGCCGTTGCCTTGCGCATATAAGGGAACTTGCGGATCACCCAAGATGTCAGGCGTGGCACGGGCGACAGCTGAGTATCCGTGACCGAGTTGGCCAGCATCAGGACCGCCGAGAAGATCTCAGGCACGCTGGCGTTCTCTGGGAACTGCACGGGAGTATCTACGTTGCTCTTCTCGGGCGGCGACGGGTCGGGCTTCCACCGCTGTATCATCTCCAGCCGCTGGTAGGTGTTACTCTCGGCCTCTGGCAGGCCGAACGAGCTGGCAAAGATGCTATCGAGCGCGAGCGAGGTGATGTCGCCATGTGCAGCAAACGGCCGTCCCTGCGCCAGATCGCACTTGAGGTGCCATACTTTGATCATGGTGGTTGAGGCCTTGTAGACCTCGGGGGCCGAGACCTGCGAGATGAATGTGGGCGCCATCAGGTGGTTGATCAGGTTTCGGTTCTTCTTGAAGCGGTCGTCGGACGAGAGAAACTGGATGTGCTGCTCCGGCAGGATCCCGTTGATCAGGTCGCCAAAGAAACCAGATCGGTCAAATTCCTTGGTCCGCCGCAGCAGGATATCTTGGCTTTCGAAGGGATCCGTGACGACTACCCATGGCAGTGAGAAGGGCTTGATGAAAGCCTGGATAATGGGGCTTTGGTGCCGAGTGGTGAGCGACGTCAGCCAGCACTAATATTGTCAACTGTCAGCCACAGGACGTTGCAATCATTACTATACGGCTAGGCGCTACTTGGCTCGCGGGGTCGCGTACCCAAGTAGCCAGGGAAACCACTTACGAAAATGCGTTTGGTCTTGATGACATATCCCATCATCTCAGGCACGTCGCCAAATAGCTTCTGAGCAGCATCTCTGTTGTACGGGATGCCCGCGAGCGGTTTGGGAAGAGCTGCATGGTAGAGAGCGTATCTATCCCAGTTCTGTATTAGCAAGTCTTCTGAAAGAGGGTGGATTCCCTTTTAGGAGTTGTAATGTCCCTCGGAAGGATATTTGAGAAACATAATCTGTGTCGATAGGGCCATATGCAAGAGCTGACATAGGCCCAGAATCGACCCAGAATGGATCTCATGATGCATGATGTCGTTTTTGATCAACGGCAATAGGAAGCCATTTTTGATGCAGTATGAAAGGGGGGTTTCCCTACAGAACAACCAGAGCGATGCCCACGGCCAAAGTGCCCCCGGGTGATGAGAAGATGGCACCCATGATGCCCACCTGTTTCCGAGATCGCTGATACTGAGTAACCAGACGGACTTGTGTGTAGAGAATGTAAGCCAATGCAGCAAGAGGCAAGGGGCTGAGTGAAGGCTTCGGAAGATTGAAGGTTGCAAATATAAGTATTTCCCTTCCTACTTCTGCGAGTCGCAACCGAGATGATTTCACAGAGTCAACAAGGTCCAAGATCGACACCGTGATACCGTAAGTCACCTAGACATACGCGTATTCTGTTGAAATCTGTATCATGCTTTATGTGAAGAACAGGGCAAGGCATGTCATCCTTAAACAATCACGCTGCATATGCCCACGGCATGGTCAAAGGGCACTACACACCAAGGATTCCATACTCGGCGCGTTAGTCGAAGAAAATATCGGCGTACCACCTGATGGCCATCTGCAGTGCTTACTTGATGAGGTGCTGCAGGTTCGTACGGCGCAGCAACGCAGCATCGTGCGGGATTAGCTGACTTACCCTTACAAAGGCGTCGTATTACCTACTTGATTGTTGCACGGTGTTATTAAAGTACAGGCTATTATGCATAATTGACTCCCTTACTGCAATTGAAGTTTTTGCTCAGCTCATAAAGAACTTCAATTGCAATAAGGGAGTCAAAGTAAGTCACCACATAATTACCAACGACGGTTCCAACACACTATAGATGAAAATAGAATTTATAGAGTAAACAGAAGAAGGTATGCAGTTCTGAGCTCCTGTAGTTGGGGGGGGGGGGCCAAGGTTTAGCAGGGTGCAGTGCTGTAATGATGAATAAGCAGAGGCTGTGGACCCCCTACGCGCTTAGTGACATTAGCACGACTATGGTAGCATGGCAAAGTCCCCAGCACTTTCCCACCCCCTCGTCGTCAAAACGAACCACCACCATGCATGTTCAGCACGAGAGAGCTGCTCTTGAGCTTCTCGCACGATGAACAACGAGCAGTTTCGAAGGCTAATCCATGCCAATTCGGCCAAGGCAGCAGCAGAGGCAGGTGGCGAGCAGAATGGCGCGTCTTCCTCATCCCCAGGGCGCTTTGGCAGCGCCGCTGGGTCTTCTGCTCCTGCTGGTGCACTCGGCTCGCGTCAGAGGTCCAGCATCCCCATGACACCGTAGGTGATTTCTTTTCTGTCCGGCAACCTACAAGCGGCGGCGGGGAAGACAAAGTGCCTCCTAAGCTGATCATATTCTTTGGTAACAGGCGATCCGTCGCAGGAGCAGGCCGGGTCGATTTCGCCCGCCAGCTCGCCGAGCGCAACAACCAGGACCGACCACAAAAGAGGATCCGCACGTCCGCGCCCAAGGGCAGCAAGTTTGGCGAGGGATACGTCGACCGTGCAAAGGCGAGGCAGACTGCACAGGAGCAACAAGAGGAAGACGAGAAGGCGGCGCGGATCAGAGCACTGGAGGAGTCGCTGAAGAAAGAGGAGATCGACCAGGCGACGTTTGAGAAGCTGCGGGACGAGATTGCGGGCGGGGACCTGTCGAGCACACACCTGATCAAAGGGCTGGACTTTAAGCTACTCGAGAGGGTCAGGAAGGGCGAGGACGTCTTTGAAGGGAAACCGCCTCCTGCAAACCAGGACGAGGAGGCAGAGAGAGAGGGAGAGGCGGCGGCGGCGGCGGCGGAGGATCCTGCGGGGGACGTGGACGACGCGTTTGAACAGTTTGAAGACAAGGAGGTCACGGCTGTAGTCAAGGAGAAGACCAAGAAGAAGGGCCAGCTGGCGATAACGTCGCTGGTGCCAGGGCAGAAACGGTCGAGAGACCAGATCCTGGCGGCGATGAAGGCAGCCCGGGAGGCAGCCAAGGCGAAACAGGAAGAGTCTGCATTAGGCTCGAGGTTCAAGAAGATTGGTGCCAAGAAGGAGCCCGGCTCAAGGATAGAGCGCGATGCAAAGGGCAGGGAGGTGCTCATTATCGTGGACGAGGACGGAAACGAGAGACGAAAGGTCAGGAAGGTCGCAGCTGAGGTTGAAAGGGAGCGCGAGGCATTCAAGGTGGACCCGAACGCCCAAGTTCTGGGTATGGACGTCCCGGAATACTACCAGAAGAAGTTACAGGAGCAGCAGCAGCAGGCAGAGGAGGAGGACATCAAGATGTTCTCGGATGTGGAGTCAGACTACGATCCTCTACAAGGCCTGGAGTCAGACTCTGACGACAGCGATGCGTCCAAGGACGAGACGAAACAGAAAACCAGCCCTGGAGGCCGCTCACCGAGGAGCGAGGGCGAGGTCGACGACGCACAGAGCCCACCGCAGGCCAAGGTGTCTGCGCAGGCACCACCGACACAGCACCCTCGCAGCTACTTCAAGACCAACCTGATATCAGAACAGCAGACCAACGGCCCCGCACTGAATGACCCGTCGGTACTGGCTGCCCTCAAGAAGGCAAAGACACTGAATGCAGCTGCCAGATCCGAGGAAGAGCAAAAGGCGGCAGAGCAGCAGGAGAGGCTCAAGAAAAAGCTGGCCAGCGCGGACAGGGACGCCGACGACCTCGACATGGGCTTCGGAACAAACCGTCTGGAGGACGAAGAGGATCTCGAGGATGACGGCAAGGTCAAACTGTCTGCATGGGGAGGAGACGATGATGACGGTGAGGAAGGAGGGCGCGGCGGAGGGAAAACCAAGCGGAAGAGAGGCCCCAAGAAGAGAAAGGGCGACGGCAACAATTTTGCCGACGTGATGAAGGTTCTTGAGAAGAGGAAGACGACTGAATCCTAAGGTCGGTCGGTCTGTCTGTCTCTGTCCTCTTTCCTGTCCTTTCGCGTATGCCGGTGGCGGCCTTAGAATGACTTGGGGTTAAGGAAGGAGACGTTAATTAGACATGACACGGTCATGAAATGCCAAAAACCTGTGATACCCTCCCTCTCGTATAGTCGTGTAGTTCTTCGGAGAGTGCGACCACTCATCACGATCTGCACTCACACTCTTTCGACCTATCGGCGTTTTTTATACCCTAACCTCTCTCATCTTGCAACGGACACAGCTGAGAGACCTCAGTCTGTCTCTCACCCGCCCACACATGCACAAAGAAAAATGACTCACCATAGCAAGCGACCTCTTTGCTTAATTACGTACTTAATTATCCATAACCCCCCTCGTCCGAAAACGTCGTCGTCTATAAGTAGCCGGAGGGTTTGGGAAAGCGCAGCAATTCCCTCCGCCGGCAGAGAATCGGCTCACATGCCGCAAAAATAATTGTGGGCTTCCCCTCCAAACCTCCCCTCCGCTCCCGGTCAAATCGCCAGGCATCGAAAACCCGCTCGGCCGCTCCGCACCGAAAGTGAGTGAGAGGGAAAAAAAAAAAAAAAAAAAAAAAGGAAGGCTTTCATATCTCCGACCGTCTTGACAGTACACGTTATCCCTTGGAATCTTACGCGACGCAGACACACGAAATCTCACCTCTTTTGGCGAAGGATCTTACTTATTTGGATGGGATTTCTTCTCTTTCCTCTTTCGTCCCTAGTTATTCCAGCGTCGCCAGCTCATTTGCTTCATCTTACAGGACACGGTAGACTTCGCTTTTCTTCTTTAGTAAAGCTTGCGCCTGCAAGATATCTTTGGTCGCTGCTCTATTTGGTTCTGAGACCATGGCTACTACCACACATGAGCCTGTTCCAGTGTGGCTCGATTGTGACCCGGGACATGATGTAAGTTTGGATGATTGTTTCCGCCTTTTCTTTCACAAGTACTTCTTACACCGTTCACATACAAAGAAGACGTTCCGGTTCCCTCTGTCACACTGAGAGAGGGCGGCGGCTCTCGAGTACCCGCGTGCATGGCAAAGGCGTGCTGCTGCTGCTGCTGCTGCACATCATAACATGTCATATCAAGTGGTTTTTACTTGTACGACCATGTGGCAACCGGACCAGGGGATGTGGTCCACCGCTGTACAACGTCTGGGCAACTATCTTCCTCCTCTCTCCCTTCCTTTTTCTGATCTGCATGTCTCAGCCGCTGTGATTATTGCAGTGAGTGAACCGCATACGCTGACCAAAGCCTTTTACTCTTCAGGACGTCTTTGCCATTCTCCTCGCAGCCTACCATCCTGGCATCAGGCTCCTTGGAATCTCGACGGTCTTTGGCAATGCTCCTCTAGAGTACGTCCATCTGTCCATCCATCCAGGGATCTCACTCTCACTCTCTCATCCTCAACCCCGCCGGTCTCTTCTGTCTTTTCCTTAGAAACCAACATCCTTCAAATGAGCTGACCCGTCCACGCCCCTCCTCCAGAAAGACAACCTGGAACGCAACAAGCGTCCTCACAGCCATCTCCAAGCACAACCAGGTCCCCGTCTACCCAGGTGCCTCTTCCCCGTCCCAGAGACCCCTCCTGGCCACCAACGCCGAGGACATCCATGGCGAATCCGGCCTCGACGGCACCAGCCTGCTGCCGGAGCCCCTCGTGCCCGCACGCACCGACCAGTCCGCCATCGAGGCCGCCGCCGCGGCGCTGCGGTCTTGTGAGCCCGGCACCGCGTGGGTGGTGGCTACGGGGAGCATGACGAATGCTGCTGCGCTTTTTCAAACGTATCCTGACCTGGTGCGACATGTGAAGGGGCTGAGTATCATGGGAGGTGCGATTGGGGACGGACATAGTATGTGTAAATCCTGTTTCAGTTCCCTTTTTTTTTTTTTTTTTCTTTTTTTTTTTTTTTTTTTCAGCCTTGAGGTCGTCTTTTTTTCTGGAGTGAAAACATCATGTACGTTACTGATGATCTTTGGTTGATAGCAAGCGCGGTGTATGGCATTGTGGATGGCAAGGCAAGAGTTGGGAACTGGACGCCCTGGGCAGAATTGTGAGTGTGCTTCTTCTTCTTCTCATACGTTCTGCTGGATCACATCTTCCCTCGTGTGAGGAAGCCATACTTCAAAGCTGTCTGTCTGGCTGCTTGAAAGATTCACGGAGAAAAGAGTGTGGACTACACGACTATATGCTTGTATTTAACATCACACACAAGAAACACATCTGAACCACCAACTGACGAGAATACACACACAGCAACATCATCATCGACCCCGAAGCGGCAGCCTTCATCTTCGACAACAAGGCCCTCGCCGCCAAGACGACCATCTTCCCCCTGGACGTAACCCACCTCGTCCTGGCCCGACAGGACGTCCAGGAGCTCCTCCTCTACGGGCCGGACAAGTCAGGCGGCCTGGACAGCACCAAGGTGGAATCCGTCGAGACGACAGGGCAGAGGAAAGGCAAGACGACGCTGAGAACGATGCTCGTCGAGCTGCTGATGTTCTTTGCCAAGACGTACAAGTAAGTCTGCTTTGCTTTTTTTTTTCCTTTCTTTCTTTCTTTCTTTCTTTCTTTCTTCTCCTCTCTTTCTCACACCCGCCATGAGGGGAGGGGCGGAGGAGGACAATGGTTTTTGTTTTGTATAACCACTCTTCCTCTGGCTGACCATGAAAACAACAATAACAACAACAACAGGGACATGTTCGGCATCATCGAGGGCCCACCCCTCCACGACCCTCTGGCCGTCGCCGCCGTCCTCACCGGAACACCATGGGAGATCCCCTTGTATGACTACCAAGCCGTGAACACCAACACCAACACCAGCGACCCCGCCTCCTCCTCCTTCGCCTCCTCCTCCTCCACACCCCCCAACCCGCACGAGCGCTTCGACGTCAAGGTCGTCACCGAGGGCACGCACGAGGAAGCGCAGCGCACGGGCTCGAGCTCGCAGCTGGGCCGGACGATCGCCACGCCACTGCCTGCCGGCCAGGACGGAGTCAAGATCCCGAGGGGCCTGGATATTCCCATGTTCTGGAGGGTGCTGGAGGAGTGTGTCCAGCGGGCGGACCAGGCGAATGAGGAGGCGGCGGCGGCTGCTGCTGCTGCAGCAGCTGCTGATGCCAGGAAGTGAAGGCGGGGGGGGGGGGGGCGCTTGGCCAAATGGTTGGTCTCTGTTTGTCTTCATCTACTTTTACTTACTCAGGGCCACACCGGCTTTCAGGACCTTTTCTTCCTTTTTCTCGTTTTCGGACATCTCCTTGGGGGGGGGGGGCACCTGAATAGAAACTTTACGCACAAACATATACCTAATTAGTACAGAGATTTAGGCTAGAACGTGCCATGGTCCACGGCAACTGTAGTTCCCGTGGAGCATATTTCAGCCAGCTAGACAAAAGAAAAGCACAGACGGCAATTTTTCAAGAGAGAAGAGAGACAAAAAGAGGTTACATCGTATCGTTTCTGGCATCTGTTGTACCATAATTTTTCCTTTCTGCCATGGTGAGAGTGCCTTGAACGAACTTACCATACACGGTACGAGGGGCGGTGATCCGTCTCTCTCGATGATGCTTTAGTCGTCCTCATAGTCGATGTAACTAGCATTCCGCACAGACAGGAAGCTTCTCCCTCCTCGGCGACGCCATCACAACCTAAGGGGGTTTTTCCTCCAGCCAGATGGACCCTTTTTGGATGCCCGCCCCCACAGGAAATTCCCTTTTCCACCGACAAGCCCATCTAAACTACTACTACTACTACTACTACTACTATCTAAATAGTTCGTAGGGGTCCCTCTTCCTTGGGTTCACTTCAACTTATCCTCCTCTCCCCTCCTCCCCCTGGTTTCCCACTTCCCCGGCACCGGCAAGTATACTATGAATGTCACCATAGCGACCCTGGCGAGCGACGAGAATCTCGAACCCCCCCCCCCCCCCCAGTGGCGCGCCAATTAAAGGGCCAAGCCCATGCCGTCCGCTTCTCCCCGGGGTAGCACGCAAGCCTATCAATCACCCAATACCTCCTCCATCTCTTTCTCTAATCCCATGTCGGCCCGGCCTTGGGCTTGGGGAGGTTTAGTGGGAAGAGGGTGCTGCTGACTCGTTTTCTAGGCGCATTGTGGCGGCCATGGACGATCTTTCAAAGCTTAGGCTTTTTCTTCCCAAGGGTTTTTTTTTATTTTTTATTTTTTTTATTTACCTCCTCTCTTTGTGTGTATGTATGTATGTATGTATGTGAGAAGATACCCAGATAGAAACTAGATGCACACACACACACACATAGTACACAGAGCGCTTGAGAGAAGGAAAGGGAAAGAAGGGGAGAACAAGGCCTCCACTTAGCGGGAACCTCTGCCCGTCTTTCCCCCTTCAGGATATTCTATCCTTTCCTCCCTGGGTTGAGGCGTTCGGTTCGACTGATGGCCGGAACTATTGGGTGGGCCGTGATTGATTATGATGAGAAGTCGATTTTCACCTCATGACAAGAGAGATAGAGAGAGGATGAGGGCAAGAAAGGAAAAGAAGAGAAAAGAGACAGACAGAGAGATCGACGGCCGGTCAGCATCCGACCCTTTTTTCCTTTTTTTTTTTTTCTTCATTCTTTTTAGGTTCCCTTTGGGCATCAATCACTTTGACAAAAAAAAAAAAAAACTCTCCACAAATGTCACTGGTCCCGTCTTGTCTATCAAATTCACCTCCACTACTGGATCGGATTCGCATTCCCAGCCTGTTGAGATGGAAAGAGAGGAGGAAAAGACCCTAGACCACAAAAAACCACCAACACCAACACCAACGCCAACACCACTGACACTGGGGGAGAAAATGCCCTTGTACCCGGGAGGGGGAGGTCCACGCAAGCTATCCTCGGCTCCTCGACAGGCAACCCTTGAGAAGACCAGCGTCCTGGGAAAAAGCATGACGTCTCTGCCAGACTCTAGCTGCATTTTCAATCTCTTGGCCCCAGCAGACCGCGACCCCCTTGATAACGTGTTTGTATGTATGTCCATGTGTCGTCGTGACAGGGAAGTACATAGTAATTACACATGATACAATCAACACGAAACCGCGCATCATGAGTATTTTTTTCTTCTTTTCCCCTCTCCCTTCTTCTTTCCCCACTTTGCATAAAGTAAAGGGTTGGTTGGTGTTGAGGCTTGGAAAGAGATAATCCAATCGCGAATCAAACTCGGTGCGCAGCTGCCCACGCCTGTTGTCTTGCGCTTGAACATGAAAGGGACGAAGGAATAACTGGGACAACGCAACTATCCACAAATTAAAATCATCAGACGATACCACCTGATCAGATGACACACGAAAAGGCCTGGCCAACTTATACATAGTAACCTCATTTCTAAATTATCGTCTTCGTCCCGTAACCCAAATGTCTGGTTTTGATAAGACAGCATGGGCGGCACAAACACGTGCGTTGCATCTAAAAGCCTTGCTCAGCAGAAACCCACCTAAGCCTACTTAGAACTGGGCACCGGCTGGGCGTGCGGCCATGCTAAGACATACTATGATAAGATCTTCTCGAAAGTTTAAGCTTCCCGTTCTATATGAACAGGCATACGTGCGGTAATTATAGGCTTCTCGTCGTAAATCTCAATGCGCATGAAGAGGTAAACTGACAGGCTTAGGGTGGCGGTCCACAAGCAGAACGACGACTCGGCGGCCTCAGCAGACAGAGAGAAGGGAGGGGGGGGGGGTGTTGTTCCAGACATTTATGACATAAAAAAACTTCTGCCTTGCAGAGAGATCCATGTGCGCCCATGTTACCGATTAGCAATGAGTAGGAAGCACGTACAGTGTGAAAGTAGGCCCCAAAGAAACATGAACATGCCTGCACAATATGGCGTGTCCTTTGCATCGACCGTGCCAACGCCCCCCCCCTTGTGTATGCTGTGAGTAGAACCCCAAAGACAGGCATCTTCGGCCGGCACTATGATAGCCATCCACAAACCAGAAGCAACCAAACTCATCGATGATCTCTCTGTTGTGGTGTCCACCTATCGAGCGGAACCTATGGTGAAGTAAAGAAAGAGAAGAGGGAGTAAGAAAAATAGATGAAGACAAAACCTCCCCCCCCCCCCAAGGATCCCAAGTGTGAGGCATTGACTGCTGACTGCTCTCATCCTCCGAGTGGCAAAACAATATGCTGCCAAACACCCAAGGTGTGAAAGGTACGATCACAACGTTTTTGGCCGTGCGTGAGATGCTGCGCGGCCGGGTCTGGCTCCTCCAATGGATGATACCAATGGGCGCCGTCCTGTTGACAAGTTGCGGAGATGGATGGCATCAAAATGCCCAGGCACGAAGAGCAAGGCAGCATGACCAACCCCCCCCCCCCCCGCCAGATTTGACATCACCGGTGCATTTGGGGGCCTTTTCGAGCGTTCCTCCATCCCCCTCCCTCGGATCACCACCCCCAACCTCCCGGTACCCTAACAGCCCAAGACCATGCCATCCTAGACGAGAGCGTTGCGGGAATTTTCCTTAACCCTCCCACCGGAAGAACGTCGGCCATGGGAAACAGATCGTATAAAATGATAATGAAAAAAACAGATAGAAAATAGCAACACTGAACCAGTTTCCGTCTGAAGATAAAACCCACCTCATCATGCCATGCGTGGACTGACGGGACGCACATGGCCCACTCCCCAGTCGAGCCCAGGCACCGGGCCGTCCCCAAGGGGGGAAAAGGTCTCCAGCAGCGTCATTTTGGGGCCCGTCCATCATCATCACCAAACCGTTCTCAACGGCTTTGACTTCCTAAAACGTAAAGGTCTTTCGTCGTTCCATCGTCTTGTGCGCCCTCTCTTTCCCTCCCCCCCGCCTTTTTTTCTCGGTGTACTCTAGGATCTTGAGGTACGCATAGTAATACTAAACAGGGAACAAGGGTGCTTTGCAGGCTGTGCTTGTCCAAAATAGCAGTGAAACAGCCGAGGGGGCCAAGACAACCAAGTTGCCAAGGCACTGACTGAGTGCTGCCATTGGGGTTGAACGACAGGCAAAAAAGAAAAAAAGAAAGAAAAGGTCAGACATACTACTACTGCTACTACGTAGCATACATGGTCCCAGTCTGTAATGTCGACGATAAGGAGCTTTTTTCGCAAGTACGTGCTGGGCCAGGGAACCCGAGGAAGGCGAGGTTACCCGCGGTGTGTCCACGCGTCAACCTTTCTCTGATACCAGCCCGGTGGCTGATCTTCTCAGCCTCATGACAACGTGGACGTAACTGCGATAGAGAAACGGAGGCCCCTCCGCCTATCCCCGTTTCCTGGAGCCCTTCAATGAGACAGCCCACCCTTGTCCGACAGGCAAGATCCTGCGCTCATATTCTTTGTAGCCACCGACGTTGTTGTTGCTGTTGCACTTACGATTTTCTTTTCTGTGCGACAGAACTACTACGTAGCACCTGCTGATCCAGCCTCCTCCCGAGTGCTTTGGGGGCCAATAATTCCTTTTCCTCCAAAAGCTGACACAACGCTTGATCGTGGCAATAGGCTCTCGAGAAAGAGGGGAAAGGAACCAGAGTAGTCAGGCTTCCCTTCTAAACAGAAGTACACCGAGGGCTGTCCATGTCATAATGGATTCATATCATCAGATAGTGCGCCCAATCATTTGTTGATCATGAAGTAGAGGAGAGCGAGCGACTGACGCCGCAGTCTCGTACTGCGAGGCCTCTTGGTCGAAACAAATGATGCACTGCGCCTCGGTCGCTCTGTCTTGGTAGATAATGCTCGAAAGACAATCATCACATGCAGCCGTCCGAGGTTCCGTGGATGGCGCGGCTGGTCCTGTCAATGCTGCTTGTTGGGTCGCATAGCTCTCCCAAAAAAATGCCTTGCAGAATCGAGTCAGCTTGGCGAGAGCATATTTTTCATGCCCCCAACTTGGGATAACATCTGCCGAGTCCGTGTCCCAGTCCGAGCCCTCACAATGTGAACGAACTAGCGGGCAAGTTTTGAAAGATCTCCAAAGAACGTTGCAGAGCGGGCGGCCGAGTAAAGACCGACCCTGGCAGGTCTGACCCCAATATCTCTTGCAGGACGGCTGTGGCAATAAGCAGCACACCACGAACACACCCCGACGAGGCCCCGCGATCCTTCGAACCCAGGCGCCATGTTGCGCTGCGAGT